AATAGTGGAGAGGAGAACGATGGGCCTGTAAGATTTCAAAAGTGTGTAATCAGTCTTGTTCGGTTTAGGGAGAAGGACGGAGACGGCACGGCGGAAAGGTGCCGGCCAGACGCCGTGTGAAAAGATCGCGTTGAAGAGGTGGACAAAGCCAATGAGGATGGCCTCATGACCTTTAGTACGGGTGGCGAGGACCCACTTGAGGAATTTCCACGTGATGTGGTCCCAGCCGGGGGCGGACCGGGAGTTGGTGGCGTGGAGAGCGTCGAGGAGCTCTTGACGGGAGAAGGGCGGCCAATCGCGGGCCGGGAGAGCCGGCATAGAGTCGACGATGGTGAGGTCTACGGGCCGACCTTCCGCAGAATGGAAGGTCGGGCCGGCGTTGTCGCGTAGATCCTCGGGGGTGAGGATTGGGTTGCCTAGGGAGTCAACGATGTCAGCAGTGTCCGACCGCCGTGGTTTATACCAGGCTGTCAGGTCCCAGACCCGGGCATTGTTGGTGGCGACATCGTGGATGCGCTGTTCGAAGAAGGCGCGTTTGGCGTCACGGATGGCCTTGAAGTAGGAGCGGCGAGCTTCAAGGCGTTGAAGTTGTGCGATCTTGGGGAGGGCGGTGTTGGAGGGGGTGTCGCGATGCTGGAGGAAAGCGCGACGGCGTGCACGGGCGGTCTGGAGGGGTGGGGTGGTGCGTTTAAGGGTGGTGGAGAGATGTCGCTGTGCTGCTTTGGTGACATTGTTCCACCAGGGTTTGGAGCGGGCACAGAGATCGCGGGGCTGGGCATGGGATTCCCAGGTGGTGGAGATGGAGTCGTAAAGCGCCTGTGTGTAGCGCTCGACGTCGGGGCCAGAGTCCGGGCGAGGTGTCGAGTTGAAGAAGCCGACAAGGGTCTGGGCCAAGTCGGTGAGGAAGTCTTCGAGGTTGTCATCGGAGATTGCCGGTGATCCAAGAAGGGATATGGGATCGGTGGGCAGGGTGACGTATAAGAGGGCGTGGTCGGAGAGGCCGCGGGCCGCAGCCCGGACTTGAACGGAGTCACGTGGGTGGTCTCGTGAACTCCAGATGAGGTCTATGACGGAACCCCGGAGTCAGGGGTTGTGGGGGAAGTGCGTGGGGACGTCGACCGGGGAGCGGAGGTCAAGGTCCCAGGCGCCTATAAGGTGGGAGAGGGTGAGTAGGTCAGTACGCGGAGAGGATGTTCCCCACGAGGGGTCCCAGTTGGGGCTGTGGAGATTGAAGTCGCCACCGACGCAGCGTACTTGATCTGGGAGGCGGGGAAGAAGGGAGATAAGGTCAGTAAGGACAGCAGAGTGGCCGCGAGGGTCATTGTAGACATTAAGTAGAAAGAGAGGAGGGTCAGAGGACCGTAGCTGGAGACCGAGGAGTATAGCGTCTCGGTGCCGGAGTGCCGGATGGCTGAAGGCGCGTGTTAGCGGCAGTCGGGTGTTGACGTAGCAGACTACGCGAGAGGGGTTGTCGTGATCAGTCTTGGAGGGTTCGAAGAGGCGCCAGTGGGAGTCGGACTGGGTGCCGAAGTATCTGTTGTCGTTGGTCCGGTCGCCGGGCATGGCGACGTTGCGTTTACCACCGGGCGCGGGAATGTGTTTGAGGGGGCCATACCACGGTTCTTGGATGCATAGAACATCGACATGGCGAGACAGCGAGGAAAGGAGGGAGGACATATGGGAGGGATTGCGGTTAGCATTGTGGAAGACAATGGTAAGGGAGTCAAGGGAGGTGTGGTCTCGAGTCATTTAGAAACCGGCCAGCCCAAGCCCGGGCGGAGGGTTGGCGGCGGGACGCGAGGGCTGGGCTGGGGCGGGAGCCGGTGGGTGGGGAGCGGTGGCTGTGAGGACGTGGACACCGTATGGGTGGGCCGTGTTGCAGCGGCGGCAGTGGGAGACGGCCGGTGCACGCATGGGGGTGGCGCCGGGAAGAGGGCGGGGACGTGTGTGGTTGCCAAAGGGGTGGCGGCAGCCGCACGCGCGGCAGAAAGGAGAGTTGTCCACTGCACCTGGGCGGTGGCGGCCGTAGAGGTGGGAGGTTCCACACGCAGTGCACGGAATGGGGAGGCCCATCTGGCGGGCAACAGCGGGATTCTGGGAAGGACGATTAGCAGTGCGGGCCGCAGTTTTACGTACCGGGCAGGTGGGGGAGGTTGAGGCGTGGGCCCCGTTGCAGAGCGCACATTGTGTGGAGGCGTCTGGGGCCGCACGGGCTGAGTGGTCAAAGGTGCGGTGAGGACCGGCGCATGTGGCGCACTTGGGAGGGGACCGGCAGGCGCTGGCGGGGTGGCCGAGGGCTTGGCAGTTGGTGCATGCGAGGATGCCGCGGCGCACGGGACACGCGACAGCAACACGTGAGCCCGCCCCGAGGTCGAAGACGAGGGTGCCGTTGTGGAGGGAACGGAGGCGCGCGAAGGCGGGAGAGTCTTCCCGAATGTCGACATAGAGGGTCGCGCTGTCGGGCGAGGGAGAGGGGTTCCAGCGGGCCGCCAGGACTAGGTCCATGGTAAGGGCACGCCAGGCCGGAGACGGGGAGCGTTGGGCAGCTGCGAGGAGGTAAGCGACCGGGTCGACAGGCTCAGAGGCCCCGCCGACTCGGTAACGGACAGAGGGGAGTTGGGAGATGGAGAGGGAAGAGTAGTATACGTACGACGTGCTGGTGACCGGGACAGAGAGGATAGTGGAGATGCAGGTGTCGAGCCTGTGAACGTCATCAGTGGACAGGAGAGAAGATGGGAAAACAACAAGGTTCCGGCCCGTCATGTTCCATGAGGCGGAGACAATGCGGAAGTTGGACTGGTTGAGCGCGTCAGTGATGGCGACCGTCGACGGGCGTTGGTGTTCCGGGATGGCCGCGGGGAGGCGGAAGTAGCGGGCTTTGGCATGTCCGGAGGGGAGGGTGGAGATCTTCTCGTTGATGACCTCGTTGATGCGGATGGAGGGTGATGAGGACCATCCAGTGGCCGGGCGTTTGGCAGCCATGGTCGACCACGGGGCAGGTGGGACAGTAGGCTGGACGGGGGCGGGGGTAGGGACTTGGGAAGCGGGAATGCTCGGGGCGGGCGGCATAGCAGTGGTTGGGGCGGCGGTGGGGGCTGGTACCGGGGTCGAGGCGGGAGCTGGGGCAGGCCGGGCCGAGGGAGCGGGGGCGGGGGGCGGGGCGGCCGTCTGTTTGGCGGCTGCACGCTTGGTGATGGTCTCGTGACGTCTGGTGAGGTGATTCCCGCGACAGACATCACAGCGGACGCCTTGCGGCAGGGAGGGAGCTTTTTTGGGAGGAGGAGTGGGATAGTGAGGAGGGGCGGACGCATCGAAGGTTGGGGCGGCCGGGGTGGGAGTAGGGGGGCGGTTATGAGGAGAATGGATAGAGCCGGGGAGGCCGGGGTGGGTGACGCCAGGCATGGGAGAGGGGGAGCGGGATGGGGGTGTGGTGTGGATAGTGGCTGGGGGAAGGTTGTTGATGAGGTCGAGGACGCCTTGTCCTTCGCGCGTTGAGAAAGAGGTGGCCTGGGGCGCCGGGGCGGCAGGCGGGTCCCAGGAGACGATGCGGATTGCCGTGTTGATGATGGAGGGATGAGAGTCGAAGATGCGTTCCAGGTGGAACGGGTAGACTTCAAGGGCGTCAGCTACCCGGGGGACGTGGGACCTGTCAAAATCCTTGGGGGGAACGTCGGGGTGAGTGCGGAAGAACATAACGAGTGCAAAGAGAATGTCAGTGACTGTTTCTGAGTCGAGTGAGTCGAGATCCGGTGTGAGGTCGTGCGCCTCGGGGGGGGCGTCGCTGGTGGGGAAGGGGGAAGCGTCGAGGAGGCCGCGGACGTACGCATAGGCCGCGTATGCCTGTGCTAGCAACGGATCTCTCCTCTGCCATGCAGTTTGTGATGCTCTGTTGACCCTTAGTACAATAAGCCCGCTCGGTCATCTCACTCCCACCTTCGCGCTTCTACCATCTCTTAGACTACGCATTGCACCTATACCCACCAAAGTACGAATTGCACGGTTCCCAACACTTGGCTGAAGAATGTCTGCAAAGAAACTACGCGCCAAGCTCGACTTCAAGTTTGTTCTCCCGCGGAGTCGACAACGTCCAACTGCGGAGATCGCCCCCGACTTCAGCGAGAAGATGTTCCGTCCCCGCACCTCCGACACCAAGCCCACACCCGCTGTCCTCCCCGTTTCAGTCGACGCACCTCCGCCCCCGCCTCCGCCGAAAGACCATCGTACGAAACGCGTCTACTCTCTATACGACCCCAGTGGGGTTACCTGGGACGACGTCCGCTACACAGTCCTGGCGTCGCCTATATCAGAGGATGCCGCTTCGCCTCCCGGCTTGAGCGATGCGACGAACAGGTCCCCTACGGTTCAGTCGACCCCAAAGGTACGCCCGCCGCCCAGCTACTCCAAGCTTCCCCCGCTTCCGGACGAGATGGGTGTTCTCCCGCCTACAACACCACCGAAGTCCCCGCACACCCGTACCGCGACATCCCGGATCCCGGTAGCCTCTGGGCGGGTGCCCGCCCACCAGCGGCGCGCCGCGACAATCTCGACCCCAGAGGAGGCGGAGCTCCGCCGGCGTGAGATGGCGCGTCGTAAGGAGCAGGAGGAGCGAGAGGCCATGCGCGAAGAAGCACAACGGCAAGCCCGCCTGAAGTACGAGAAGGAGCAACTTCTCATACAGGCCGCGCACGAAGAAGAAGAGCGTAAGGCTGCGCTGGAGGAGGAGTTGCGGCGTGCCGCGGAGGAACGACAGAAGCGCGAAGCGATTGAGCGAGAGGCGGATGTGCTTGCGAACATGGTCGCAGCTGAGCGCAAGCGGCAGGACCGCGAGAGGCGGAGGCAGGAGACGCAGAAGGCGCAGAGGATGCTACAGGAGATCGAGGAGCAGCGGCTCGCCAAGGAGGAAGAGCGCAAAGCGTGGCGTGAACGGGTAGCCAGGCAGCGGAGGGCTTTGGCGGCAGGGCTGGAGACCCAGAAGACGAAGAACAGCCGAGGCCTGACAGTACTCTTGACGGGCTGGTTGACCGTTCAGAGCGAGGACTGTTTGTCTTACAAGAGGCGACACTTCCAGCTGAGGGAAGACTCGCTATTGTTGTTCAAGGATGCGGAGGTAAGCTGCCTCTCACTGTGTTTGGCCCGTTGATCGACCCTGATGCATCTAGGACGACTCCAAGGCCATGGAGACCATTCATCTGTCTAGCATTCAGCGGATTCGTGAATGGCAAGATGGTTTCGAGGACTTGGCTGGGATACCAAACTCGTTCGCCCTCGAGATTCGTGGATTCGGTGATCCCTGGAGCATGTTCACGGATTCGAGCGAGGACAAGGTAGGGCGACCACAAATGTTCGGACGCAATCGATTTGCTCACTGTTGCCTGCAGGAGAAGCTGCTTGCGCTTCTGAGCAGCAGGCTCACCACGCGATGAAAAGCGTGGAGAACCGATATCGGCGTTGACAGGACTGTCTTCATTTCTCGTTGTCTGTAATAGGTGTTGTATTTGGCCGCGCTGCCGCAGTGTGTAGCACTATACATGTAGAACTCTGTAGTCGATACCCTTGGAGCTCATTGCCTTCCTGTGCAGTCCTTGTCATGAATGATCACATAGTTTTGTTAGCACCTGGTTTGACTGCGGAGTTCATGAGCGCTTTGCGGGAAACGCCTGTGGACTGGCTGAGCGGACCGCGAGTTGGTAGTCGTTGCGGGCCTGCGGCCAGTCAATTCATGCTGTTGTTCGCCGTCTACTCCACCTTACCTGCCTGCGTATATTGCTGGCCCTCGTTTTGATTATCGTACATCAAGGGTCTCTGACAACTAGTACTTCGCAATGACGACCTGGGTATCTACTCTCGCCTCCGTTGGTATGGCCGTCGGTCCGCCTCTTGTTTATGCCGACCAAGCCTACTCAATTGTGAGGAAACAGTGCGTGTTTAGCATATCTATGTATTCCAATACTCATGTTTCGCTCGATGTTGCAAAGGGATGCTACAGGCTTCTCCCGTGACGTCTGTGCAATACTGTGAGCGTTGACGGCTTCGACATGGTGGCATAGTTTGACGATCCACAGCCTCCTGGCCAACATCACGCGATGTTTCTTCTGGTTGGGGAATCGCTTCGAAACTGCCCTTCTAGTGCAGTCGTTCCTCATGATAATTGCTCAAGTGAGTTATGGCCACCGTGCTCGCATGCTGGTCTAAGTGTCGTGTGTTCAGTTAGCCCTCTTGTACATCTGCATCCGCTTCCGCCCAAGACTCAGCCCAGAAAGCTTGGGTGCATCAACAAGACCGTTCTCATTCTGGCAATGGCCGACATACACCCAACACCTCGAATTCCTCGCTGCGTTCATGTGAGGTGTCATGCCTGTGGAACGTCCTTCCGCTTGCTTAACCCTACGCAGCCTTTGTGAATCTATCCTCTTCCTGATACTCGGACGGTCCGAAGTTTTCGTCTCTATCCTCGGCTTCGTAGCTCTCGGACTGGAGAGTACGCTCCCTATCCCGCAGCTCATCAGGTACGTGCATCATCCGTTGCGGTTGTCGGTTGTACCCATTATCGACTCCCTACGCAGCAACTACAAGCAACGGTCTCTATATGGGTTCCGGATGTCGACCCTGATAGGATGGTTCGGCGGCGACTCGTTCAAGTAGGTCTTGAGGTGTTGTGCCGTGGCTGTTACTGACAATCATGTAAGAACGGTGTACTTCTTCCTGCAGGGTTCTCCACTCCAGTTCAAAGTCTGCGCCATATTTCAACTTTCGATCGACTGCGGTGAGCACAGTAGTATCCGCGGTTTTTGAGGTCGAATGAACTGATCGATTCTGCAGCTATTGTGCTTCAACGTATTTGGTACGGTAATGCGCCTCCTGCGACGGCGTTGATGGAGGACGAGGATATTGAGCAGGCGCTCGCATTAGATGAAGAGTAGTTCTTTCTACACTATCCAGTGAACTAGGGACGATCTGTAACATATAATCTCAGTAATCTACGCGTGTGCAGCGAATGCTGGGCAGACAGCGTGGTGAGCGCGAGCATAGTTGCGGCCTCGGAGTCGGAGGCCAGGCAACGCGGGCGAGACGCGCGAGAGGCACAGGCGATGTCCCAAAGCGGAAGGGGACACACGTCGACTGCCCAGGCTTCGCGTCGTTCCCTGCCTTTCCACATCGTCCCGTTCCCCCCTCCTTGCCTCCTCTATATCCACCCCCGCCCTGCTGCAGGACAGAACTGCGACGGGTTTGACGTGGCCCTCACTTCGACGAACAGCACCCAACCATGGATATCTCGAAACCCATCGCGTTCTGTGAACACCTACAGCTTTCTGCCATCGGCATCCAACCCGCCTCTATCTCGTTCCAGGTCAGTCACCCGAATAATCGGCGTGTGCAGGTTCCTTGCTAATGCGCGTGTGCCTCGACCACTCAGACTCTTACGCTAGAGTCCGACCACTTCATCTGCGTTCGGGAAAAGGTCAATGAAGCCAACCAAGTCGTCATCGTAGACCTTGCCGATGCCAACAATGTCCTCCGGAGACCAATCACGGCCGACTCGGCCATTATGCACCCCCACCAGAAGATTCTCGCTCTGAAGTGTGCGTACATGCTTTCGCACATGCACTTCTGAATTGACACAGCCCTTCAGCTGGCCGTACACTTCAGGTCTTCAATATGGAGACCAAGCAGAAGCTCAAGTCTCACGTCAATGCCGAGGACATCGTCTTCTGGAAGTGGATAAACGACTCAACCCTTGGCATGGTCACCGAGACGGCTGTCTACCACTGGACTATTTCCGACACAACCTCCCCTCCTCAGAAGATCTTCGATCGTCATCCTACACTTGTCGGCGCGCAGATCATCAACTATCGCGCGACGTCGGACGAGAAGTGGCTAGTCTTGGTTGGCATTTCCGGAAACACGACGAATCCCTCCGCGTTCAAAGTCAAGGGCAACATTCAGCTGTACAGTCGCGAGCGCGGAGTTAGCCAGCCGATCGAGGGTCATGCGGCGGCTTTTGCTGAGCTCAAGATTGATGGATGCACGAAGCCCACGAAGCTATTCACGTTCTGCGTCCGGACGGCCCAGGGTGCCAAGGTACGTCAATCGCTCGAGCTATTTCCCTCGGGCTGGACACTGATACGTATCCCCTTGCGTTAGTTGCACATCGTAGAGATTGATCACCAGGCTCCGGACCCGCCTTACGTGAAGAAGAACGTCGATGTCTACTTCCCTCCTGAGGCAACAAACGACTTCCCCGTCGCTATGCAGGTGTCGAAGAAGCACGGCATTGTCTACCTCGTCACGAAGTACGGTTTCATTCATCTCTACGACCTCGAGTCTGGCGCATGCATCTATATGAACCGCATCTCGGGCGAAACCATTTTTGTCACCGCCGAGCACGAGGCTTCCAACGGTATCATCGGTGTCAACAAGAAGGGTCAGGTGTTGAGCGTCTCGGTCGACGAGCAGACCGTCATTCCCTATATCCTCACGACGCTCAATAATACCGAGTTGGCGTTTAAGCTTGCAAGTCGCGCGAACCTGCCTGGTGCCGATGACCTCTACATCAAGCAGTACCAACAGCTCTTCCAGAGCGGCCAGTACGGTGAAGCGGCCAAGATTGCTGCGAATTCGCCTCGGGTGCGTACCTCGGTCTGTCAGATGACCTCTCCCATGAATCATCAGTTTGTAGGGCATTCTGCGTACCGCGCAGGTCATTGAGGCATTCAAGGCGGCTCCGTCGCCCCCAGGCGGCCTCTCTCCTATCTTGCAGTACTTTGGTATCCTTCTCGAGAAGGGCGAGCTCAACGAGCTCGAGTCCCTCGAGCTCGCCCGCCCCGTTTTGCAGCAAGGCCGCAAGCAGCTATTGGAGAAATGGTTGAAGGAGAATAAGCTCACATGCAGCGAACAACTCGGTGACGTCGTCCGGCCGTTCGACATGACCCTCGCGCTTTCGGTCTACCTCCGCGCCAATGTTCCGAACAAGGTGATTGCATGCTTCGCCGAGACAGGCCAAACCGACAAGATCGTGCTGTATGCGAAGAAGACCGGTTATACCCCCGATTACGTTGGCCTTTTGCAGAGCATCATGCGCGTGAACCCTGAGAAGGGTGCGGAGTTCGCGACGCAACTGGTGAAGGACGAGGCCGGTCCTCTGGTCGATGTAGAGCGTGTCGTCGACATCTTCATGTCACAGAACATGATACAACCGGCGACGTCCTTCCTCCTAGAGGCGCTCAAGGACAACAAGCCGGAGCAAGCTCACCTGCAGACCCGTCTTCTGGAGATGAATCTGCTTCACGCCCCTCAGGTGGCCGATGCTATCCTTGTCAACCAAATATTGACGCATTTCGATCGCCCGCGTGTTGCGAATCTTTGCGAGAAGGCTGGCTTGCTGCAACGAGTATGTGTGGTCTGCGACGTTTTCCGATCCTTCCTCTGATGTCTCTTCAGGCGCTGGAGCTGTACGAGGATATCGCGGATATCAAGCGTGTCATTGTCCATGCGACAGTGTTCCCTACCGATGTATGTCTCTCTAGGATTCTCAGACGACGTATCGGCTGACATATTTCAGTGGCTCGTGGATTACTTCAGTCGTCTCACCACGGAGCAGTCATTCGCATGTATGCAAGAGATGCTCAAGGTGAACATACGTCAAAATCTCCAGATTGTGGTACAGATCGCGACGAAGTACTCGGACATCCTTGGACCTGTCAAGTTGATCGAGCTGTTCGAGTCTTTCAAAACCTCCGAGGGTCTCTACTACTATCTCGGCTCCATCGTTAACCTATCTACAGACCCGGAGGTGCACTTCAAGTACATTCAGGCGGCGACTCGCACCGGCCAGATCCGTGAAGTCGAGCGGATCTGCAGGGAGAGTAACTACTATAATCCCGAGAAGGTCAAGAACTTCCTCAAGGAGGCCAAGCTCTCCGACCAGCTCCCTCTCATCATCGTCTGCGACCGCTTCGACTTCGTACACGATCTTGTGCTCTACCTCTATCAGCGCGGCCTCACCAACTTCATTGAAGTTTACGTCACTCGCGTTAACTCTGTCCGTACGCCGCAAGTCATCGGTGGTCTTCTCGATGTCGACTGTGATGAGACAACAATCAAGAGTCTCTTGGCCTCCGTTCAAGGCAACTTCCCCATCGACGAGCTGGTGCACGAGGTCGAGACTAGGAATCGTCTCAAGCTTATCCTCCCTTGGCTTGAGGCGCGGGTACAGGCTGGTAGTCAGGACCCTGCCGTCTATAACGCGCTGGCGAAGATCTACATCGACTCAAATAACAACCCTGAGCAGTTCCTCAAGGAGAACAATGTATGACTCCTTTTCACTATGATCGGTTCTGATACTGAGACTTTCCCATTTAGCTGTACGAACCGCTCGTGGTCGGCAAGTTCTGTGAGGCTCGCGACCCGTATTTGGCCTACATCGCATATGCGAAGGGCTTCTGTGATGACGAGCTTATCCACATCACGAACGAGAACGCCATGTTCAAGCAGCAAGCGCGTTATCTCGTCCGTCGCCGCCAGCCTGATCTCTGGGCGCAGGTCCTCCGCGGTGACAACTTGCATCGTCGTCAGCTCATCGACCAGATTGTTGCAACGGCGCTTCCCGAGAGCACTGACCCCGACGATGTGTCCATTACCGTCAAGGCCTTCTTGACCGCAGACCTACCGCTCGAGCTCATCGAGCTGCTTGAGAAGATCATCATCGAGCCCTCACCCTTCAGCGACAACCGTAACCTTCAGAACTTGCTCATGCTCACGGCTATTCGCGCGGACAAGGGCAAGGTCATCGGCTACATCGACAAGCTCCAGAATTACGACACTGCAGAAATCCCCAGGATTGCCATCGAACACGGCTTGTACGAGGAAGCGTTCCTCATATACAAGAAGTACGAGCAGCATGCGGAGGCCATCAATGTCCTTGTGGAGCACATCGTTTCCCTCGACCGTGGTGTGGATTACGCAAACAAGGTTAATCAACCTGCGGTGTGGAGCCGCCTCGCGAAGGCACAACTTGACGGTCTCCGTATCAAGGATGCCATTGGTGAGGTGTTTTCTTCCCACAGAGCGCTTACGTTTGACTGAACACGTCTGTAGACTCGTATATCAAGGCTGAGGATCCCTCTAACTACGTCGAGGTCATCGAGATCGCGAGTCGCGCTGGCAAGCACGACGATCTCGTTCGTTTCCTTCAAATGGCTCGGAAGTCGCTCCGTGAGCCGAAGATCGACACAGAGCTCGCGTATGCTTATGCCAAGACCGACCGCCTGCACGATATGGAGGACTTCCTGGCAATGACCAATGTGGCCGACGTCCTTGAGGTCGGAGAGAAGTGTTTCGAGGACGAACTGTACCAAGCTGCCAAGATCCTCTTTACGAGCATCTCCAACTGGGCTCGTCTCGCCACCACGCTCATCTACCTCGGCGAGAACCAAGGTGCCGTCGAGAGTGCGCGCAAGGCGGGCAACACCCAGGTCTGGAAGCAGGTTCACGCCGCTTGCATCGAGAAGGGCGAATTCCGTCTGGCGCAAATCTGTGGTCTCAACATCATCGTACATGCGGAGGAACTTCCGGCACTTGTGCAGTTGTATGAGCGTCGTGGGCATTTCGACGAAGTTCTGTCTCTGCTCGAGGCCGGCTTGAGTTTGGAGCGGGCACATGTACGTCTTTGTCTTGGTTCGACCAGATTTGTTCTGACCATGCACTAGATGGGTATCTTCACCGAGCTTGCGATTCTCTACAGCAAGTACAGACCCGAGAAGCGTAAGTGTTTAGATGTGATTTGCCGAACGAAGTGTTGATCAGAGTTGTAGTCATGGAGCATCTGAAGCTTTTCGTGTCGCGTATCAACATCCCCAAGGTCATCAAGGCCGCAGAACGCGCACATCTGTGGCCAGAGCTGGTCTTCTTGTACATCAAGTACGACGAATATGTAAGCACACAGCACTCTTCATATCTGCAGCTGCTCATCCAAATTACAGGACAATGCTGCTCTTGCGATGATTGAGCGGTCTGCGGATGCTTGGGAGCATAATCAATTCAAGGACGTCATTGTCCGGGTCGCCAACGTTGAGATGTGAGTCTCGCTCGCAGTGGCTCTTGGACAATCCATGGTACTAACGCCAGTGTCACAGCTACTATAAGGCCCTCACGTTCTACCTCCAAGAGCAGCCGACGCTTCTGACAGATCTCCTGTCCGTCATGATTCCCCGCATTGATCATTCTCGTGTCGTCCGCATGTTCGAGCAGATCGATCATATCCCGCTCATTCGGTCGTACTTGATTGCTGTGCAACATGTATGTCCATATGCGCTATGTATGCATCGACATCAGTCGCTGACTGAATTCTTACAGCTTAACCTCGAAGCTGTTAATGACGCGTATAACAAGATGCTTATCGAGGAGGAAGACTATAAGACACTGCGCGACTCGATCGACAGCTTCGACAATTTCAACAGCACCAAGCTACTCCGGGAGCTTGAGAAGCACGAACTCCTCGAGTTCAGGAGACTGGCTGCTCATCTCTACAAGGTAATCCCTTCGCAGGCCAGTGCTACACACTCAGCTGATGCGATTGGTGCAGAAAAAGGGCAAATGGGAGGAGTCAATCGCATTGTCGAAACAGGACAAGCTATACAAGGACGCCATCATCACGGCCGCGGCGTCAAACTCGTCCGAGATCGCTGAGGACATCCTTTCGTATTTCGTCGACATCGGCAACAAAGAGTGCTTCGCTGCTACACTTTTCTGCTGCTTTGACCTCCTACGTGCAGACGTCGTGGAAGAGCTGTCATGGCAACACGGTCTCAACGACTTCTACATGCCCTACAAAATCCAGCGTACGCGGTCGATAGTCGAGAAGCTCGCTGCTTTGGAGAAAGAGGTCAAGGAGCGGTCGAAGAAGGAGAGCCAGAAGGAGCAGGAGGAGGCTGAGCGACCCCTCATCGAGCCCGGATTCGGTGGCAGGCTGATGTTGACGCAAGGGAATGGCTACCCCGTGCAAGCACCACCTCCAGGTATGCTGCCCAATGGTACAGGCTTCGGGATTCCTCCTACGATGACGGGCTTCGGCGGGTTCTGAGGTAGTCGCTGTTCGCATAGTTGTATATTCTGGATCTCCATAATTCGTGCATACATGTTTTCGTTAATATCTTCCATGATCTTGTTGCGTGCCCACAAGATGCCATTCGAATATTATGCTTCCTGCGCAATGGCGAGGGAAGATATCCTAATCTGTACAACGTGCTAGGTGTAAGTATAGTACAAGCTGGCACAGCCCATCTGTCAAATGTCATAGTGGTATATTCCATTATCATGAACATAAGGTAAAGAGTGTATACAGGTCCATGTGGTGGTATCTGGAGTGGAGACAGCATAAATACAGCTCAGATGACGCACCCATCCCGAAGTCCAATCAAGCACTGCGCCGGGAAGGCGAAGATAGAACCAGGCTATGCAACAATGCAGCCGCTCCGTCCACTCCCGTAGCTCGCTGAGCCTTTTGCACGCGTACTGAGGGATACCCGTGCTGATTCGTAGAAGACCTCGTTCACCCCACGATTGTGCTTGGCACTGCACTCTACGCGACCACGGCCCATCAGGGTCAGGAAGTCAATACGAAGCGGAGATACACAACCTACCGAGATATCTGGAGGCTCGTATGCGGCGGGCGACGGCGAGGCCCTCCTCATATTGTACGGTGTGCATATTGTATCGGGCCAGGCGAAGTTGCGTCTCCTGATCTTCTCGCAGGTCGCATTTGAGGGCTGGTTACAATTGAAGGCAGTCAGCGATTCCTCAGCCCACGTATGAGCCAGTTAACGTCCATACCGACTAGAACGAGCTATTCCCTCCTGGGTCAACAGCACGTATTTCCTGAGGTTGAGTAACGTACCTTCACTCCAGGACAATATTCGAGCATCTCCGGTATCCACTACGCCACCGCTGAGTTCAAGGACAAAATACACACACGGCCATGACGTACCTTTGCCTCAACATTCTCCAGGGAAGTAGGGTTATCGACCTATCAGGAGATGTTCGAGGTTCAATAATGCTTGCTGGGGACGAAAGTGCATCCCAGAGGGCACTTACCGAGAAACACAACATGATCACATGTGTCTCTGCGTAGCTCAACGACCGTAGTCGATCAAACTCTTCCTGGCCTGTGGAGAGAGGATCGCAGAAAATGAGCACTCGCCAACACGAAGGGTAAAGGTGCAGACACCAGAGATCTAGAAAGACGTACCGGCTGTGTCCCACAAGCTCAACTCCACCAGTTGATCGTCGACGTACAGGTCGTGAACATAATTCTCGAACACAGTGGGCTCACTGTCGCAAGAGGCGTAGGTTGGCATACTTGCGAAAAACGTAAGAGGTGAGAGACGCACTATACAGCAGAGAACCAACCGCGAGTGAAGACGTTGAGCAATGATGTCTTGCCTACAAACCGCCTGCCATCAGCCGTTGAGCTCTAAGAATGACCATCATCCGACGCACCGCACGCGCCGTCCCCACATACAACTAACTTCCGTTGGATCTGAGAACGAGAAGATATACTGAGTGTTCAGGAGAGAACATTCCCAAAGAGAGAGCAAGACATACAGCTCGTTGGCGGCCAAACGATGGCGTCCCGCCGGATTTCTTGTACTTGGCCATGGAATGTTCGTGATACGCCTGACGCGCCCTGAGCAACCGTCGTCACCAGCAGAAAGGAAGTGGGTGAGCGCCACAGAACACGGTGGGGTGGGTGTGGTATCAGTCTGAGAGACAAGCGGGCCGTTGACGTTGGAGTCGAGTTGAATTCATCCGGACACGTGAAGTCGACCGTTGCTTCCAACAACGAACTCGTGTTCGCCCTCGCCTCCCGGACGTTCCCATCCCATCGCCTTCATTCCCACACGCGACGCGAGCTTTAAACACCACTGTATTGATTCTTTGCGCACACTATATACATTGTGACGTGCTACGCTGGGATGATTCGTCGCTGTATACAGCACAAGATGGAACGAAACGTGATCTGGGGGAAGAGTCGTTGGGGGATGATCATGAATGGATGGATTGCATGTACGAGAATGTTTGCCGATGAGTCCCGGAAGTGGTACAAAGAAACGAGGGGGAATGGCCACTGCGAGCAGGTGTTCTATTACATGACGAGGAGGGGGGAACGATGGGAGAACCGAGCAGCAGGGCAGATGGTGACTATCAGCACATGGATGTTACAAAACGCAGCGAATACACGAGGCGCCAATACCTCTCGTTAAGTTATTTGCCCGGGCTAAGATGGCGAGCATGCGACGTGGATTGAACCGGGATAGAGATCGAGGAGTGGCGGGTGAAGTGGGGAATTATGCAGGAACGAAGGTGATAGGACGGCTCGACGAGCGCCAAGTATTGAGGATAACTATATCGTGAGGGAAGGGATAGACGAGCTTGCACCAGCCGAGAAGCCTGACCGCTGGACCGCATTCGTCGCTCTGCTTTTGTGGTTGGGATGGTGGTGATGGTGAGCGCGGTGTGGCTGGTTGTAACGGTGCTGAGACGCCTTGGTAGTCATCTTCCTCTTCATCATCGCCTTCTCTTTCTTCAGCTCTTTCTTCGACTTGTTCGTGTGTCCGTTGTAAGAGGAGCCTGCCGCAGGCACGAATGGAGACCCAAGCTGCCCATCTCGCGCAGGGAGCAACGTAGGAGACGAGTTGTACGAATGACGTCCCTTCTTCTTGCGTGCAGACGCCCGGGACATTTTGTCAAGCCCGAGCGGGCGCGGAGGAGTGATCAAAGGCATTCCGCTCATCATCGCGCTGATACCACGATGATGCTGGAGAGCCGCAAGACCACTGTCGGAGGCGGCTCCGTCGACACCAGAGGCGGTAGCAGTCTCGCGAGTGCGGCGGAAGGTCGCCATGGGTATACGGTCCCACCTCGACAGATTGTGCAAGTGTGGACTAGTACCAAGTTTCGTTGGGCTCGATTGCGACTGGGAGCCTGGAACGTCGGTCTCGCACTCCTGATTCGAGGGCTCATCGTCAAGCAGGGAAGAGTCGAGCACGTCGTCGAGATCAATGGCTTCAGTCGTGCTGTCGGATGCGTATGAGTGCTGGGACATCTCTTGGACATGTTCTTCCGACGACTCAGCTACGACTTGTGAGCGCAAAGCAGACATAGTCGCATCCTGGTGCGAGACAGATGCAGAGTTAAGAGAGTGTGAACCCATAGAGCCGCCGCAGCACTCACCTCATCGGGGAGCACGTCCTCCACAACGGACTCAGGCTTAGGCAGACGGACAGCTCTCCGGTAGAAACTAGGGACTTCGCCCCCAGCACCCACAACGGCAGTCTTTCTCCCGGAGGGGGCGTCGCCCACGGTGAACTCTCCCATGATAGGAATCCCGCTTCCTCGCCGCCTCATGGGGGTGCCCTTCTGCTTGTCTAACTTCTCCATCTCGATGTCCTCCAGGTCATCCATCGAGACCCGACCCGCGAGGATATCGGCTGGGCTGGGGGTGGGCGGGGGCGACCAACGCTGGGAGGAGATAGACGCAAGCGCAATACGCGTGCTAGGTGTCGCATTCGGCGGTGGGTCTGAGAAGGAAGAGGGGCTGAGCGTCGAGAGGGGATTAATCGCAGAGATGGTGCTCGGCCACTTGAAGAGCATCATGGCACGAGGATTGGGGAGCCCGTCGGAGTCGACGAGTTCGTCCTCTGTAGTATCGCCGTCACTCTCATGGAGGATGACCGTGCCCGTGCCCGAATCCTCAAAGGAGGACGTATCCTCCAAGCCTGAGATCGAGGCCATCTCCTCGTCCTCATCAGGAGCGTCGAGGCTGAAAGAAAGCGCAAGACCGTCGCCGGGTCCTGTGCCTGCACTTGAAAAGAGGAGTTGCCCGTCCCACCCGAAAGAGAGGTTGTCCAAGTCGACCCCAATTTCGAACTCGCCGTGTCCACGACGAAGCTGCACGGATGGATCGATGTCCATGAGCAAGAGTGCATCCTCTTCGTCGGCAGAGAACGACCCAGAGGGCTCGGCGTCCTCGCCGCTCGCAGAGGCGCGCAAGGTTGCGAAGTGCATCTCCGGGGAAGACGCGCCTGAGTCCGAGTCCAGACCAGCGAAAAAGACGTCGGCATCGAACGAAGACTCCTCGTCGTCACTCCACCCATCTCCCGGGAAGGACACCCCGATACGACTGTGCGTCTCTTCCTCCTCGTCCAAATCCGCGATGTCCTCCGCCAATAATCCTCCACCTTCCACATCCGCCTCCACGTCCGCTTCGTCGACATCGTCCTCGTTCTCATCGTCTCCGTCTTCTGAGGAATCAGCGTCCGAAGAGTCCCCGCTGTCGGTCGAACTCTCCTCGTCCTCGTCCTCGTCTGCACCGACAGACTTTTTCCGCGGCTTGATCTCCCACTTATTACCACCGATCCTCTCGCGTTTCTTGTGACCCACATGGCTTGGAAGAAGCTTAGTAGAACGTCTCTCACTGTCGTTGCGGACGATGTAGTGGTCGTCGCCATCCGAATCCGAATCAATAGACGAGTCGGAGGACTCAGATGAACTCGAATGCGTTGACTCGCTGGCGGCGGGGACGAAGGTGGGGTAATCGGAGAGGGTGCTGTCGCTGAGGTCGGCAGAAGACGTACTCGCAGCCGGTATGGGGGGCTGATATACTCTGCGAACGGTTGCAGACGTCCCGCTCGTGCCTCTGGCCTTGTACTCCATGTCGTCGGCAACCGTTCTCTTTCTCGCGTTGTACTTGGCAGCAGCAAGTGCTTTTGGGGGCCGGCCCCGACGCTTGGGGGCGGGTGCGGCGGCGTGTACGGGCGGCCTTGAGGACGGGCCCGCATCTGGAACGGCGGAACCGAGATGAGCGCTTGAGGAAGAATGAGGTTGAGTCTCGGGCGGCTTGCGAGACTTGAGATTGGGGGGCAAGGTTAACTTGATCTTGAGCGGACGCTTGCCCGCAGCCGTTGTCTGATGGCTGGTAGATGGAGCTGAAGAGTGTGAAGAGGAGGCTGAAGGCGTCGGCGCGGAGGAGGTTGAGGGGACGGATGGCTTTTTGTGGCACGTGCACTCGCTCTCGCAAACGGGACAAATGTCGTCGAGGTCGTCGTCGTCGTCCTCCTGAAAGGGACTGTGATGGGCGACAACGGTTGCGAAGCCGCTGTTCATGATATGGGCATGAGCAGGCGGCATTGGAGAAACTTGCTTTTTCTGGGGATCTGCAATGAGAGGGAGGCGTAAGATGAGTACTGAATGGTTACGATGTCGATCGAGGACCAACGAGCGTTATGGAGAGGTACGAGACAACATGGAAGACGCAAAAGAAGGAGAAATGAGCACAAAGCAAGGACAGGGCACACGAGGCGTCGACCGAGGCAGGGTCGGGACGAAAGACCCGGAGGGGGAGAAATGTTTCGGGCGTCGGGAGATCAAAGGGCGCGATGGGGACGAAAATGATGAGAGGGCGAAAGAAGCGGGAGGAGACTCACGGTGAGCAGAAGTCTTTTTTGGCATTGTGTCCTCGAGAGCATCTGTTCGTAGGATATAAATCCAGGATGGCAGCGGGTGGGTGTGCAGCGGGGTCGAAGCGTAGAGGCTTCGGAGAAGGAGGTGAGTTGCCTGCATCCGCTGCAGCTGCACACTCACCCTGCGCGTCTCTCCCAGCGCCACGCCGTCGGCTACACCGTCGGCTGCTCATCATCCGCTCTGTCGTCCCCCTCCTGCCTTTCCCCTCCTCCCATCACCCTGTCCATCACCCCAACGCCCCCATCTACCCGTTGTCTAGCCGAGACAAACATTTCTTCGCTCCGTGCACTCCCATCACAAACCTCGCTCTCAGTTCGCCATGTCCGCTCGTAAGTTTTGTTCATTCACGCGACATATCCCCGTATAACTCAAACTTCACCCCAGGTCGGTCCCTAAAGGACCAGCTCGCAGAGCTCTCACAGCCAGCTCCTGTTGGTGCGTGCCTCCCAAGTCCTCACGTCCTCATGTGAGTCGCGCCTGACTTCTCGATCACCAGACCTCGACCCTGAGGAAGCTCTCGCAGGAGATGACCCCTCAGAACATCGATGGTCCATCGATCATTCTGCTGCCAGACAACACTACATCGACGTCGCGTGAGCACCTTTCGCCATCAGGCGTCATCCTATCCAACTCCAGTGCGCTGACCTTGCCCCAGACCGTCCACGCTACGTAAGTTACACGAAAGCGTGAGCGACCCAAAGTACGACGGTGTCCGCACGAGCCGCAAAAAGCTCTACGAAGATAGCGACGGAGAGAATGAGCCCGGCGAGGATGCAGACGTCCGAACCTTCTCAGACGAGGAAGCTGACGAAGACCTGAGCGAGGCTGGTACTGAAGAAGACAAAGAGCTGCGCAGCCCGCACGAGGATGAGACCTCTCAAGACGAATCTGGTATTGGATCCGAAGACGAAAGCTCCCAGTCGCCTAGAACACCCCATCGACAGGTCAATGAGGCGTTTTCACGACCCTCGAACACCAACATCAATGATAACGGGGCACCGGAAAAGACTCAGCCAGAGGGTGATATCGCCTCTAATCTTCGCGTGACCCACGAGGCCGACAAGAGGAAGGGCCGGGCGGTATCACGTCAGATTGTGAGTATTCACGTTCCAACTAGGCAAGTGAATGGCGTTCTCAGGTGGTGTGCCGTTCTTCGCCGCGCAATTTGTTCTAGGCCTTGTGGGACACGTTGCTCGACGCGCGTATTCAGTTGCAAAAGGCCGTCACTGCTGCAAATCGTCTCCCCCTAGTATGTGTATACCATATGATGTTGTTTGCTCGGTTCTTTCCTCACATTTTGATACAGCCTAGTGAGTCGGCACGTTACACGTCGCATCCTCATGCACGAGACGCATTGGATGGCTTGTTGAACGTGGCCAGCAGTCTCACGGAAGAATTGCTCACTTTGCAAGGGGTACGTCAGACGCCAGTTCTTAGCCCTCCACGCCGTTACTGCCTTTCTCGAGGCGCACGAATGTTCGCTCACACGGGATTCACATGCTCAGGATCTCTTACACTTCAACGAGTCGATCGAAACTCCGCCGAGAAAGCGGCGCAGGCTAGATGCATTATCAGAGTCGGATCCCGCCGGTTCGTACGGGACGGCATTGCAAGAGCTGTCGGCGTCTGCATCAGCCCTCGAGGCAGCCTACCACCCCTGGCTCGTGGACACGCTTTCGAAATGGTCCGCCAAGGTGCAAGCCGTGGCTCCCAACGTCCTTCTCCCAGACGCCCGCGGGTCGTTCATGCGGGACGGCAAATCGGGTCAGATCGGCGTCGTGAGCCTAATTGACGATACCTTCCGCTCAGATGGAACGAAACTGCTCGATCGGACACGAAAGCGGAAGGACAAGCATGTCCGCATTGGCCAGCACCGACCGACACCGAGCGAAGACGGCGATGGACGCGGAGATGCGGAGGACCGGGAGGAGCAGCCGGACATGGACGTCTTCGATGACACCGACTACTACCAGCAGCTACTCCGCGATGTCATCGCCGCTCGCGGGGGCAGCGACGGGCAAGGGGGGGAGGCCCAGTGGCAGATCCAGCAGAGGGAGCGGAGGGCGAAGCGGAAGAAGACGGTGGACACCAAGGCGAGTAAGGGGCGGAAGCTTCGGTATGAAGTTCATGCGAAGTTGCAGAACTTCATGGTGCCTGTGCCGGTCGTGGGAGGGGAATGGCATGAAGAGCAGATTGATGGACTGTTCTCGTCCTTGCTGCAGACCTAGTCAGAATCCGAGGATCCTAGCACATCGTTCGTGAGGCGTCTATCGCGGTGTTGGCGCCGCGCCGGGTGATGGCACGGTGTGTAGGCAGGTCGATTGTCAGTTGTGCGCACTAGATGGCGACGATATGGAAGTCGTTGGACGCGTGGATGGCTATGAGCTTGCTATGAACGGCGGGGCGTATCTGGGCGGTCTGGGGGATCTGGTGCAAGACATTGTATAAGTTAAGCTGTGCCTCGTCGACAGGCGTGAGTACCCAGTGGCCTCAGCGCGCCCTGGTTCACCCTGGTTCACCCTGCTTCATGCGCCGCTTGCTCTCTCGCCCCTTTACCCGCTCGTTTTTGATCTCTCGCCTCATTGTCTCAACCTTTCCCGCTTTTCGCTCGTCAGTGTTCGCCACGTAATGTCCAACAACAGCCAGCTCGCCGCCAAGAACAAGAGACGGAATGCAACCCTGTCGTGCGCTGAATGTCGTCGGTACGCGTCACTGAGCGTTTCAATCGCCGCGCAATATTTACCCGAGACCGAATCTGCCGCGTTTGCAGCCTGAAGCTGAGGTGAGTACGAGGCAGAAACCACGAAGAAGACTTGGCGAGGCTTAGCGGGAGGTTACAAAGGTGCTCACGAGTGTTCCCCTGCGCGAGCTGCGTGAAGAAAGGCTGTGCCGCTATCTGCCCTGATGGTACGTTCGTCATGAGTGATCTAGCACTCGCGGCCCTGTAGTCTCTAACGTTTCATTGATAACCCGACAACAAATCGACACATAACAGGGTCCCTCACCACCGGCAAGGGCAATAGGTAGGGCCAAACGCGCACCGTCAGCTCCGCAGTCGCCGGGTTCTGCTGACGCTAACTCTCATAAGGTTTGTGCTCGCCAACACCGAAGCACTTCATGACAAAATCACTGTCCTCGCCAACCGTGTGCGTGCGCTAGAGGATGCGCTTGAAGAAGCCCACTCGAATCTCTCAAGCGAAGCCCACCCACTTTTATCCAATGAACTGCGTGCCCTGAAGCGGCCGCTTGAGAGAGAATCGCCGGAAGAACAGGCACAAGAGCAGGAACAGGAGGTCGTCGAGTCAATCAATGTTGGATCACTGTAAATCCCCTGCGCCCCTCTGCTGACGCTTTAGCCTTCTCGCCTGACCTGATTTCGGTTCCCAGATCTATCTCGGAGTCTGGGCATACTCAATTCTTCGGCGGGATGGCAAATGCCTGGGTACGTCATTCGCTCCCGCGACGGCCTAGTGGTACAAAGTCAATTGCTGACAGTGTTCCCATTCTGGTAGTACCTGTTGCAGGTACGCGACAAATTAAGATGCCTAGTTAGCATAGTGGCTTAGAGATTGCGCTCGGCTGTCTAGCAAGAAGCCGGTAGTGACGATGAGGAAATCAACCCGCAATTGCAGTTGCCAACGGAAATACCTTGGCTTAGTCACACGTTCCCCTTCTCCACCGCCGTGACTGAGACCGCGGCCGGTATTCGCGAAACCGTGTTAGCCTCGCTTCCCGACCATGCGAAAGCCCGTGAACTGGTCACAATATACTACAAACATGCCGCATGGATGTACGTTATGTCACCTACTTCACACTCCCTTCCGTGGTCACCTCGCTAATCTACAATATGGCCGTAGGTATAACCCCATTCCAGAAGCAGAGTTTGAAGACACGATCTTCTCCCGCATCTACGGACAGCGGATGGAGACCGAGCCTGCGCCAAAGGATTCGCACCGGCTGGCAGTGTTTTGTCTGGTCCTCGCGCTGGGAGCGCTCCTCGACCTCGACAAGCCCGCGCTGTCGGCGGAGGCAACGCGCTACTATCAGCTCGGTCGAGCTGTCCTTAGCTTGGACTCTATCCTGGAGAATCAGTCTATCCCGGCTATCCAGGCGGTGGTACGTATTTATTCATTTTCTGCCTTGATAGCGGGGCGCCGCTGCTGTGGCTTCGCACCGATGTCCACGGATCGTTACTTATCCAACGTGACTAGATCCTCATGTGCCACTACATGTTCCTCGCCTTCGTCGAGGGTCCCCGGTGGGCTTTGATGGGCCTCGCGGTGAAATTGGCCCAAAGCGTGAGTGCCTGAATCAAGTCACTTGTGTTCACCGCGCACTAATTCTCTCCCTTGCCAGCTCGGTCTCCGTAAGGTTTCCGCCGCAATTCACACTTTCATGATTTTTCTGATTTGGACCTCCTGGCAACAAAATCTGTAGATCGCGACAGTGGCAAGTGGAATTTGGACCCTAGGGAGACGTTCAGGCGACGCTCGCTCTTCTATGAATTGTACACGTACGACTCATGGCAGGTGCGTATCGGCTTCCTCGACTCGCAGTGACGTCTCCAGCTTACCGCCTTTCATCAGAGTTTGACCTATGGTCGGCCACCCTCTTTTGCAATGTCATTCGTCGACTGTCAGATCCCTGAGGAGCCCACGAAAAATGCTCACGGAGAGTATGAGATGAGCTGTGCGTCTCATTTGTCTGTTCGTGTGGTCTTCCTGACCTGACGTGTCGGTTCTTCATCATGTCGGCCCGTCTGCACGCTATGCTTGTACCTCCTCTGGCTCCAGTTGCGGCATGGAAGCACCGCTTCTCTTCCAAGTGTCTCAGCGTTGTCCATGAGCAGGCCTTCGGCGCGAAGCTCCCTCGCTATCACACTATCAGTGAGCTGGATAAGAGGGTGCGCGACTTCTATGTCCCGCCCTCCCTGCGGGTCTCAGGATTCGGTGGAGCATCTGTGGAGAGCCCTCATGTCCAGCCGCCTGTTGAGCTAACCATGCAGCGGTATATCGCTTTTGCCATCAAGGAGATAAGTAGGTGCTACGTCTCTCGGCGTAGCTATCAACTGATAGCAGGGGATATCAGCGTTATTCTACTTGCACCGTGGCTTCTTCGCAAAGGCCCTCGAAGATCACCCCGGGGATCCGCTGGGGAGCAAATACGCGCCATCCGTTCTAGCGGCATACAATAGTGCTTGCTCCTTTGTCGGGCTCATCCGGAGCTTGTACTCCCAGCATCCAAGTCTGACGGAGCGCATGTGGTTCTTGTTTACTCATGTCTTCTCTTGCTCGGTGAGTCGGGATGCTGCTTCGTCACCAACATCGCTGACATGGGGGTAGATCGTCCTGGGCTCCATTGCGACGAAGTGCCCCAATATGGCTCTTGCGCCTTCTGCTCTCTCCAACCTCGACTCAGCATTGAATCTCTTCGACCAGGTCTCACGTAATGCGCGAGCAGCGAAAGTTCTGGTCAGTAGTCCAGCACTACTACTTCAGGGTCATGCATCTGAATCTCTGCCTCATAGCCTGTTCTGCGGAAGCTCAAAGCACGAGCACTGGCTGCAAAACAATCCATGAATAGCGGTCCTATTTCTGCATCCTCATCTCAAAGCTCGGTAGACAACACCACAATCAAAGAGGAAGACGATGAGCTCGCTGCGCTTGGCGGGAAGACGAGGCTCATCTCCAGAAAGTCTCCAGGATCGAACTCCCAGCCCTCTTCTCCGCAACCATCGTCGGGACAGTCTATGAGTCCCGTAGACCAGTCAGCCGTGCCACCATACATGTCTCCTGAGACACCACCCTCCGCTCCTGACACCGCCTCGCCAATACAACATGATAACACCCAATGGAACAGCGGGTACATCGCGGCGGCAGATATGTATGGCTATCCCTATGCCCCTCATGAGATCAATGAATGGCAGCAGCCGCAGCCACAGCCGCAAATTCATCATGGCCACTCGCACGTGCAGATGCACAATATGGCGGTCAACATGGAGCAGGTGCAGTATGCTGACGGGTATGAGCAGCCGATGGCGCACGCGCCGGCTATGGTAGGCCATCCACACCAATACATGTCTCAGTCTCCTGTTCAGATGCACCCGCACACGCACTCGTCGGATCCGCATGGAGCGTGGAACTATCTGTTCGCCCAGTTCAACCAAGTATAGATGGCGCGGTGTGCATGTTGGTTGAACGTGTCACGGTTGACTGCTCCCAATATTTGTCTTGATGCAGAGTTCGTCTTGATCATCTTTTTACTTTGCTTTGGTGGTTTAGTCTCTGCTATGGGTATCTGACCGCGAGTAGCTATAGTGTATATTTTTTGTTGTATGGTAGCACTAGTTACTTACTATGTTCATGTACTAGAACTCATGTGCTACTTACTTAATATTCGTGATGTCCATTGCCGAGGTGAAGCGCTGGTTGGGACTCTCCCGCGTCAGGGTCCGTGTCCTGCTCGTGACCATGATTGTCTTTTCCCAACTGTTCACTGCCCTCTACTGCTAGACTCTAGTGACCCAGCCTTTTGCCGACTACATAACATCCTTCTTTTTCCTTCCGTTTGTCCGACTGTCGTCGGAAAGACTGGCTGCGCGACTTAGTTCGACCTCTGAGGCTACCGCGTCACTGGAGACACGAAGCGCACCAATTGTATCGGCCAGGCCGAGTGCACGAGCGAGTATGGACTCTGTCGACTCTCGTACACGAGGCAAGATATCTCTGCAGTCATCTGGCTCTGCCTCCTCTTCGTGAGTACAAGCGCGATCGCACCACATGAAGCGTTCGTGCAGTTGACCGGCCTTTCCTAGCTCCGTGCTACCAAGACGCCTCCTGGCTGACGTCTTACTTGTTATTGCGCTCAATGCTGGGAAGGACTACCTCCTCACTGAAGTCGGGGTCTTCTGGGTCTTAGTCAGGGTGCTCGCATGTGGAGGACTGTCAGTCATAATCTGGTTCGCGACTGCCGGGCAATTGCACACCAAGCGTGTAACCGAGGTGTGTGGAAGTTTCGCTTGTCTGGTGCGTATACTCTTCCTCAAGAAGCAAGTACAGTGGTCAGTCATGGGCATGTCGTCGTTGCTCCTATTCCTGCGCCACGCAGGGTTGTTCACCGCGCTGTATCGTCTGCCCTCCACTCGGTGCGTCCACCTTTGCATAGCCTATGATGCTGAACCGACTGTTATTCGTGCAGGGCTATTCTCTTTACCCACTTTTCGCCATTCTGGCTGAAATCATTGACGACGTTCGCTTCTGTGAGTGGGACTGCTGAAGGTTTCCCGACACGTGATCCTTGACGTGCAACAGCTCAAACAGGCTTCGGTCGTCGTGCTAGCCCTATCTCTATCATTTCTTTGGGATGCCCGCTTCTCTCCCGCGAACTTTGGAGACCATCTCCCTGGCTATGGAGCTCTGATAGTTGAAGCGGTGTCGTCTGCGGCACTCGAACACACGGAGTCCATCCTGTCGCCGTCCTTGGGACAGCCGGTAGCCACGGCCATCAGCTTGCTAGGAGCATGTGTATTCAGTCTCCCGCTTTATATGCTAAGACATATACTGGTCAGTCGCGTGTTGCTCCTTGTCTACGCCTGCCTTACCCCCCTTGTAGCTAGGTGATTCAGGCCATCGCATACCAAGTCTTGCATCGCTGGCCGTCCTCCCTTGCATGGCGTATATTGTACTGCACTTCGAGCCTAAGGCGTCGGTCAGCTCGAATATCGCAGTGACGTCCCCACGTTATTTGACGCTGTCATATATCATGACATTCAGCGCTGCTATAATCTTCGGGTATCTGGGATTCGGCCACGTTCCCAAACTTATCGACTTCGTGGTTCCAGCATTATTGTTCTATGGTATACTTCGATTCAGCTTGAGGACTGGCCTGATCGCTGACCTCCTTTTCTAGGCGTTTACCCCAAGCCAGCTCAACATTCTCGTGGAGCAGGGTCATTTTACGCGTCGAGCAGTCGGCTTATGCGAGCATACCTGAAGGATATTCTCTCAAATCCAGAGTCCCGCAAAATTTTCTACTTCCTAATGCTTAATATGTGCTACATGCTTGTCCAGATGTTGTATGGCATCTGGACGAACAGTTTGGGCCTGATATCTGACGGTACTTCGCCGCAATCAGTCTTCAGGAATTCCAATACTAACGGAATTCGACAGCTATTCATATGGCTTTCGACTGCATGGCCATCGCTGTCGGCTTGATTGCTTCCGTCATGGCCCGCTGGCCGCCCAATGAGAGGTTCACTTACGGGTGTGTCACCTGCTGAGGCCAGTGCTATGTCCATGCTGATGGATGCGTAGCTATGGTCGCATCGAGACTTTATCTGGATTTGCCAATGGCATATTCCTGATTCTCATCTCGGTATTCATTGTCTTCGAGGCTATTCAACGCTTGTAAGCCTGCTTCTGCGATCAGATATCCCTCTTAAGTTCTTATGTTCTCTCAGGTTGGACCCTCCGGAGATGAACACAAGTCAGCTACTACTCGTCAGCTCGCTAGGTTTGGGTGTAAACTTGTTCGGTATGTTCGCAATGGGAGGCCATCATCATGTGAGCGGAACATGCAGCAGTGCTTGAGTGCAAGCCATTCACCGTTTCTTCAGGGCGGTCATTCCCATTCCCACTCCCATGGTCACAGTCATGCACCGTCGGTTCCTCCGACACCCATCTCCTCTGCCCACGACCAGAGTCACAGCCATAGTCATGGTCACATGCATACGGAGGACCATAGCCATGACCACAGTCACACGGAGGACTATAGTCATGACCACAGTCATGACCATCATCACTCTCATTCCCACTCCGTCATTGCTGACAGCGAAAGTGATATACAGACTCATCCGACCCCGTTGTCTTCGCCCCGGAGTGAACACGGCCACTCTCACTCCGCATCGCATATACCCTCCGAACCGCACTCCCACTCCCATACACAACCTGCTCACAATCACTCTCATTCCCACTCCCACAGCCATATCGAAGATACCCATGCTCCCTTGACTTCCTCAGAGTCGCGCTCTGGGGTGCACTCCCGTCATCAGTCTCTCGAAATCAAGATTGACACCCCGTCTCATCTTCACCTTCACCCAGCCCATGCGCGTCTGCAAGCTGAAAATGTCATCTCCCCCATCACTCCAAATTACAAGTTCGGCCACGATGATCACTTTGAAACTCACCATTCGTCCGGGCATGCACCAAATCTCCATGATCATAGTCATGTGCACGACCATGCGCATGAAGGCCACAGCGACAACATGCGCGGCGTTTTCCTGCACGTTATGGCCGTATGTACTCCCCTCTTTGCCGTCGGGTGGGACTGAGTTATAACGAACGTACTTCACAGGATACCCTTGGCTCAGTTGGTGTCATCGTCTCAACCCTTCTGATCCAGTTGTATGGCTGGACAGGTTTTGACCCGATTGCCTCGTTGTTCATCGCAATTCTGATCGCGGCGAGTGTCATCCCGCTAGTCATTGATACCGGGAAGGTGCTTGCCCTGGATCTGGGCACGAAAGAGAAGTCCATTCGAGAGGCGTTGACAGAGGCAAGCTTTCTACATTCTACCGCATTGTGTACCTGACCTCCTCTCTAGCTCAAGCCCATCGAAGGCCTCGCATCGTATTCCGCCCCCCGTTTCTGGCCCAAGGATTCGTCAAGCACCATTGGCACAATCCACATCCAGCTCGCGCATTCAGCATCCTCTTTAGACCCCGGCGGACCTCACTCAAGTACCCGTGCAACTGTCACAAGAGTAGATCGCGTAGTGGAACGCGTGGATAAGCTTCTGAGGAGTCGCGTTCCAGGGTTAGAAGAGCTGACTATTCAGGTCGAAGATTCGTCTTCCCATTATGCGGACTGAGCTGTCGTTTTCTGTACGTTGCGAGAAGTGTACTGTATGTTACAATTTGGCGAAGACGTGGTACCATTCACAAGATGAATATGAGCGCCGAGTGTGTCTACGAGTTCCAAGATATTAGGTACAGATCGTAGTGTGCAAAGTCCCATCATCACCTCGATCGCGCTTGCCGCCACAGCTACCCCAAGGACAGCATGGAACCAATCATGGGCAGCAGGCGAGTAGCCTGTACCCCAAGCATAGTGAAACAAAACAGAATACAAGCAACCCGGGGTAATATAAGGTCCGTGGAGTCGTTCAATATACACGTTACTGCTCATTCAGGTTGTTGAGCAAGGTCGTCAAACATCTCTTCGTCACCATGTCGCCCTATGAGCATGAATCAGAAGTAAGCCCAGCAAGCTTCATGAATATTGATGTACCTTTAGTAGAGCGTTGAACGTGTTGTCCCGGAGCGGCTCCGGAAGACAAGCCCTAAGAGCCTCGCGAGCCCTACAAGGCGCGCTTGTAGGTCGTCCATGGTTGATATGATGTATAAGGACACTCACCTCAAGTTGTCGCTGAGACGCAGGTAGCATCGGACAACATGCTTGAGCAGGCGTACAGCCTGGGTCTCGACTAACTGGTTGACCATGTTGCTGAGGACCGTGCCGACGGCATAAAACCGTTCGTAGGTGTGGCAAATGTACGTTAGGCCTGTCTCGTCCAACAGGATCTTCTGGACAATGAAGATGGCAACCGTCTTCGAGAGCTCAGAACCGGTCTCCATGATCCGCAAACAGAGAGGGATAATCTCCGTTGACAGAAGGAAGTGGATGACGGGAGTATTGTCGTTTTGCTAAGTAATGGTGAGTGAAGGTATGTGGTTGCATGATGCGAATAAGGCGTACCTTAACCAAAGCTCCAATGACGCCGAGAGACGTCAGACGAAGGTATTCAAACGGACGAGTTTTTGATGTCGTGTTGAGGAAAGGGTATAAGAAAAGTGGAATATGAGCTGCGGTAATTCAGCATGTCAGCGAGCGGTCTGGAGGTCGCGGAAGGTATAGGACGCATATACCGTTCAGGAACAGCTGACGCGTTTCGGGGTGGGAAGCTACACATTGCAAGAGAGCCAGAGCATTGCAGACACGATTGGATACATAAGCTGTGAGATTAGGTGGTGATAGTAGCGGGTAAACTGAGACAATTTCCTGAAGGAGCGCGGGCATGATACCTGAACAAATGTCAGGACGGCCATTTCATATAACAATGAGATGAGCACAAGGCGTACCGAAAGAGTGCCAAAGGACCAACGCGAGGTCATCATACTGCTCCCTCTTCTTGCTTAGCTCAAGCAGAGCGCTCTCGCGAGTCTGCGAGTCGAGCAGGTCAATCACAAGAGCATAGATCTTGCTCTCTTCGTTAACCGTGAGGGGAGGGTTGGAGACGTTGCCGCCAGGAAGGAAGACGCCCTGATGCGGGGTAGGATGGGACAGAGGCGGGATAGAGTTGGCGGAGGTGTCGGGGTAAGCCTGGACACCGCGCTGGTACGGGTTATACTGCAAGTTGTGCTGCATATACGAGACGGGCTTTGGAGAGATGAGCCCCGCCATGGGGGAATGCGTAGCAGTAATCTCGTCGAGCGCGGTGGATAGAAGATGAGTGATGAAAGCAGAGTTCTCAGCAGAGAATGCAACGACCCCGGCTCGCTTAGTCATCTACCCCTGGCGCTTCTCTTGCCTGATCAAGCTTGCCCATCTCGGCACCCTGGTACGGTTCAGCACTCGGGTGTTGAATATCAGGTTCAGCCTATCAGAATCCGTTGTATAGTCTATGCAAGATAGGAGCAATATCTATAGCTATGGGTGTATTGGACTCGGCAACAAAACGTCCGCATAGTACGCTATATTGTCCAAGGGGATTACGAATGAAAAATAGCAAAGCACGAATATATCACGCTACGCTGCACGGGTCACAACACCGCCTCCTTCTAGCAAGCCGGAACTGTGAGAGGGATTTTCACCGTTCTCTGGAAGTCTGGTCAGCATCCCAGCGCTCTGTCGTATACCATCCACTCACAGCAAGACCCTGTACGACTCATATTTCAGCCTACCCGTTTCCCTGCATGCTCAACATGCTGCACTCACCGATAGACTGGTCTCCTTGTACTTCACGCTCATGTCAGCTGCAGTCAGCCGCATTGCTTCTATCGCTTCATCTAATGTGACGCTATAGACGTTCTGACTGGCCATCGCAAGTTGTGCGGCCGTGATCGCCTTGACAGCTGCGACCTACGTGTCAGCACACCCGGCAGCTGGCGCATTCCATGCTACATTACCTCCAAGACTATTCCGTTCCTGTCACACATGAAATTTTCAGGGGTCAGTAGGGCCTATGAATGTCATGCAAGAGAGACGCACTATACAGGGAACCTGGACCAGGCCGTCGATAGGATCACACGTTAAGCCCAAATTGTGCTCTACAAGACCGCGCGACGGTGAACCGATCGATTGCAGTTAGCTCCAGCATCAACATCGACCACAAACACGTTGGCGTTGCAAGGGAGACTAACCTATGCCAATCTCGGCCGCCTGCAAGATGGTCTCCGGAGATGCTGCGGGGCCGGCATCAGTCTCAATCAAATAACGAGTGCGCATGCGGTCACAGACCTCCCATGCAAGCAGCGAATCCTGCGCTTGCCATAGAGCACGCCACTGATAGCCCAAGTGAGACGGTCAGGGTCTCGTTATACACAAGACAAGACTGCAGCATACCGCCGACCTCAGCTTGACATCCGCCTTCTGCGGCAGAGATCGTGCTCCCACGCTTGAACAGCATCCCAATAGCCTATCATAGCGTCAGGCCCTATTAATGTGATGGTCAGAGCCAATGGAGGCTACGTACTGCGGCAGTGAGAAGGAACGTGACCACCGATTTCTCCGGGTCATCACTAACAAACTACAAAGCGCACATTGTGCGGAAGCATAATGGTCAGCTCCAGATTTTGGGCCCAGAACACGGCAACGGACCTCCACAATGTACTTTAATACTGCAGGAATGACTCCAGCAGCGCCATTCGTTGGCGATGTTACGATACGGCCACCGCTGGCGTTAACTTCATTGACGGCAATGGCATAGCACGAAAGGAAGTCCATCGCCGGTATCATGGTCTTGCGCTACCATTCAGGCCAATCGATCTATTAGCCTCATGAAGTCCGACGACATGAACGGAGCCCAGCTCACTGGAGGTACGGGCGAGACGGGGTGGTCCAGAACGCCAACGACGCGCGTGGGACGAGAGGCCGATATCCTGCGTCCAACACCGGACATGTTTCCCGTTCGGCTGAACTCCCCGCTTGTGCCGTTCTCGAAAGTTGCGCCCATTCCAGGGGTACCAAATCCTTCTGGAGCAGCGATATTGCCAGCCGGCTGCGCCCCTCCATCGATCGCAGGAAGCGTAGGCGTGGCAACACCCGGGTAGAATCTGTAAGAGGACACACAAAGTTCAATGAACACTGGCGGCGAAGTGAAGCGTGGCGTGGAAGGTACCCTCGCATGAGGCGGCGGTAAAGCAAGGGCGCGCGCCGCCGTAGGCCAAGACGGCCAGGAAGTTTTTCTTCGGCAGAGGACACGCCAGTCCGTATGCAGTCATCCATGACACCCCATATGCGCATGAGCTGTGGGCGTGTGCAAGTCCGTTAAAATCGAATGGCAATCCGATAGGCCCGAGTGCGCCCGAAAGCATGAATTTAAGCGTGGACGATAGCGGAAGAATCGCCACAAAACCAGTACCCACGCCTCCGGCACAAAACGAGAAGATCTGGCAGGAAAGGAACAATGACAAGGAGAAAGAAATGGGGTACCTTCTCATGAATTTCTTCATGTGAATAGCCAAAATGCAACTCGTTGTCGTAAACGATCTGAGCAATTGTCATCTAGAGCACAGACGGGTACAGAGAGGGGTTAGTCTCCGTGACGATCGGTGCATGTGCGTGAGAAGTCCAGCGGCACGTACGTTATGCTTCCTCGTCAGGGCCAGAAGGCTGTCGCCCGACTATGCCGCGAATCCCATTATGGCACATAACGAGGGAACGCCATCGAAGTAAGATCTGATGCCGAAACTTCACGAGTCATGTAACGTACTACGAACGGATATGGAGGCTGGATCGAGTCCGTAGCTTGTGCCGCTCCGCCAGAAGTGGGGTCCGGAGGATGTGAAGGCTGGTGCAGCCGCGCACCATGTACGGCACTCTTGTCTACACCCTTGTAGAAGAGATTTTCGTCCACTGATTCCGCATGGTAAGCCTCACCCAAATGAATGAGCGAAACGGAGGTCGTCACGCTCACCCTTTGTTTTCTCGTTGACGACGAAGCCGCCGCCGACACTGAAATGGGATGAGCAATTTAGGACCGTCGTCACGGCGTACTACATTAGAACGTACGGCACCCCATTGCCAAGCATACCTGAAGTATTCATTTGTTGCAAGGAGGTCTCCATTCTCACCGAAAACAGAGAAGCGCATCCCATTAGGGTGCGTTCTGAGAACTTGGTCCCACCTCCAGACCATGTCCTTATCCATGTCGTACACAATACGGTGGCGTCCACCTAGGGTCAGCGTCTTGGTATCTACGATGTTTTCGTACCGTGAAGGGATGGTTCCGGTATCGATAGTCTCTGGATCGGAGCCTGTGTGTGACACGCCGCAGAAAGCCCGTATCAGATGTGCGCCCTCACTGCTGAAGGAAGTCATATACCTTCCAGTCCCAGCAGAATAGCTTGGGGCGTGTGGTGACTACAGACAGTTTCCATCAAATTGGCGTATTCATGTAGAGGGAAGATGCGTACCCTTTCCCTGCAAATCAACACAGCTCATGGTCAGGCTACTCGAACTAGCTGATTTAGTTTTGCCGTACCTGTGGCAGCAAGGGAACCATAGCTTCGAAATCAAGACGTTCAGCCATCTTCTACGCTGAAGTAATTTGTGGAAGGTGATGCTCACAGGCTGATCTTCACCGTGCTCACCTGAATCAGATCGGCTGTCTCGTCAGGGGCACTGAGCACAGAGCGAATATAATTTTGTGTCACCTTGTCGAGTAAACCCAGTGCTTCCAAGTCACCGATGAATATCTTTCCTGCGCGCATAGGGCCGACGGTGTGTGACGAGCTCGGGCCGACTGTCATCCATAATCTCAGGCTACCCCTACCCAATGGCCGCGCGCGCGATTGTAACGCGGATGGCAGACATACCTCCGATACTAAATAGATCAAAAGCGGAAATGACAGCGTGCTCGTGTCTCTGCTCGTGCGATCCTATGGAAGCTGACTCGTCTGCGGCCATTACGGCATCTTCTTGTTCCTCATGTTCTCTGTCGTCCTCTCTGCCGCGCGAGCTCGGGAGACTAGTTGCTTCAATCCTCTGCCGCGCGGTAGTTGCGAAGTAACGGCTTCCGGGACAATGTTCACGGGTTTGTACGCGCTCCTTCGCCCTCCTTCGTCCTGCTTGCGTAAATGAAAGATTGGGGACATGCAAGGCGACAACTCGACGCGTCAGAAGAAAGTGCTTGCGAGTTGTGGCGGAGAGCATGCTGGAGGGCCTAAAGGTCGTCTCAGGCCGGTCACTTCCGCGAGAGTTTCTGTGCAGTGAGGGGCACTTGGGGGGTCTATGGCTGCTCAGGAGGAGATAGAGAAAGAGGTTGTACGCTGGCAATGAGGGACGCGATGGAAGACTTCATTGCGGTTCTCCGATGCCGCGCCCATCGCAGACGACGGCCTGAAACGCCTCCGGACCCTAACCCTGTCCTCGGTCTTGTGGACTGCATGTGACCGCGACGTCCAAATTTCACGCGTACGCGTCTCGGATCTTGAAGCCTTTCCCCTGCTGTCCCGCACATGCCCTTCGCTCATCCAACGGCTCTATGTACATAGCTTTGGGAACATTACACACACCCTGAGGCCGCCATCCTGTCAAGTTCACACACAAAACTTGGGCGATTATCGAACCTATCAATATATCATCATCTCCTTGTTCCCACTATCTCTCAAACACATCACTCCTATACGCAAACATGTCTGTGCACGACGCAACAACCGCATCCGCATCGTCTACCACACCGCCCGGACCTCTACTGCATATCCGGACGGACCCCTACGCCGGCAGGAAATATCACGCAACTTCCCCGCTACCCGAGAACGCCGATCTCCTGGGTTCCTGCGCGCCCTTCTCCTACACTATCTGGAAGCGCTTCCGGAACGAGGTCTGTGCGGAGTGCTGGCGATATGACCGTGGGCGGCGGTCCTTCCTTACCCGACGCGACGACGAAGGTCTCGGAGAGCACGTCCCCCCAGATGCATCAACAGGCACTCAGAACGTTCGGCAGAACGCACCTCGGGGCCCGAAACCTACCAGTACAACAGGTGCAGGGCTCTGGTTCTGCGACGCGGCGTGCCAGCGGAGCTGGATCGCACGAGAAGGTGCTGACGCGGTGGGTCTGCTCAGACAGCTGGAGGGGGCCCGCCGGAAGGCGAGGCCGAAACCGCAACCGCAACCGGTACCGCGGGGAGATGCTGAGAGGGAGCTTACGCAGGAAACCGTGGACCGAGCCTGGGACGCGGTGCGCGAGCGAGAGAGGTCGCCGAAAGAGGTGCGGAAGTGGCGGGACATCCAACTGGACGACTACGAGACGGACATGGCGCGATACGTCCTCCTCGCGTTCCTCCGCTATCATCGTGAGCGATGCGAGCGCCATGCCGACGAGGTGCAGTCGCCTCCTTTGACCGGTCGTCCTCCGTATTCGTGCACGTTGGGAAGGCTTCCCTCGTATCAGTCAGGTGTGCGACCGGACGGACTTCTAGATACAAATCCAATAGAGGCGAAAGAGGGTTATGAACAAGGTTCGGAGTGGAGCACGTTCGCATCTCTCCAGTCAAACGAGTTATCGCTCCTCCGCGCGTGCCCCGAGATCCTGGAGCACCAAACGAGGGTCTACCAGCTTCTGAGGGGCCGCTTCGGCCGTTCTAGCGTCGCGGCGGATTCCGTTCCCGCTCCTTCGAGAAGACGTCCGCTCTCCGCGTCATCTCCACCCAAACTTCCTGGCTCGACGGCAGATGTTGGTGGCCCGCGCGAGAAGCCAGCCGGAGGTGATAGCGCGACCGAGAACGGGACGCCGGAGTTGGGGGACATCATAACGGTCGCGGGTGTCCGAACGGCTTTGGGCATAGACCCTGGAAATTCCTTCGGCGTGTGGGAAGTGCCGCTCATGGATGAGAGCGAGTGTCTTGGGTTCGCGGTGTACCCTATAGCGTCCTTCTTCAACCATCGTAAGTGCTTTTTGTGTGCAGCCGTTGGGGCAGGTCTTGATTGGGTCCGCGCGGCAGATTGTTCGCCAAATGTCCGGAAAGAAAGAGAAGGCCGGACGTTACGGTTTGTGACCACACGCACCGTGGAAGAAGGCGAAGAACTGTGTATTAGCTATGGGCATGTGGAAGGGATGGATTGGGCGACGAGACAACAGGAGTTGTTGGAGGGTTGGTACTTCAGTTGCCGGTGTAGTCGCTGCAAGTCTGAAGACCCGAGAGGAGCGCAAACCTGAGGCGGCTGTGAATGTCAGAGTGACTGCCAAGAGACATACATACGTAGATATCATGGAGCTGAAGCCGACAGGATCTGTACAACTATGAGTAATATGTATGTTCAGGACGCCAAGATTGAAATGTTGACGGGGTGTACCCGGCCTTACAGCAACCGATTCACCGAATGCGTCTTTGACAGGTCATGCTCCTACCGCCACAGTACCGGGCATGATGGTTACCGCACCTCCTTGCCAATCATGTGGTGCCAGTTCTGTACTGACGATACCGGCACATGTTTGGAGGGTAACAACAGCGAACTGAAGGGTGTGTGATAGTATTGGTCGCGAAGGTTCGATGTATTTGAAGAATCTCGAAGTTTGCCAATGACAGCATGTCGCGACCAAGCTCAAGCTTTCTTCACCAGCGGAAGGGCCGAGAATATTCATGGCGCGTGGGTAGGAGAGGGACGAACGCAGCGGAATTGATACGTATGTATGAGGAATAGATATGTGTCCGTGTGTCCGTGGCGATCAGAACATCCGGGGAACACAGCACGAATGTGGAATGATGGCGAGCGTCGGGACGCGGGTGGATCCCGTCAGAGTCGTCGTCTGCGGTCACTCGAGCAAAGACAGCGTGCGAGCTGGGCCAATTAATGAAGACAGAGCATGACCAGGGGCCAATGGGCGAACCAAGGGCATCGTCGTCGTCGTTTGTTGGCGAACGGTTGGTTGGCCGCGAGTTGCGAGCTCGCCACGCCCAACGCCGGCGCTCGTTCCAATCAGCCCCGTCCAACTCCTCCACGTTAGAGTCCTCGGCTGGTTCCAAACTCCCTCCATCATCCCTCCCTCGAGCCCTCTTTCCCCGCCAGCTCCCCGTCCCCTCTACTGCTCCTTGACGGCTCTGCTTCCCGGCTCTGCTTCTCTACAACCCGTCGGGGCGGCATCCGCTCACCAACTCATTCACCCATATCAATTTCTCGCCTCCTTTCTCTCATACCCGGGCAATTTCTCAGTTCCCAACCTCGCAACGTCTCCTCTGACCTCCTCGATCTCGGCGGTCCATGGCGACTCCCAACCCGCCGAGAATCTTGACTAACGGCACGCCCGTCCGCGACAGACTGTACCGTAGCGACTACCCTCCATCCGCCACCAACTCCCCTGCTACCATGCGTCCAGCTGCTTCTTTTCCCAACCCGCTCGCCTCCAACGCATCCATCCATCCCAACCCCAACTCGGCAGTCCCCACCACTCAACCGCTCACCGTCGAGGGCCTTCTCGCCAACAATGGCAACTCCATCTCGGCCGCCTTGGACGCCGCCGTGAACGAGCGCAATGCGCTCTCTGCCCAGAATACCCAGCTATGGAAGCTCATCGAGAAGCAAAGGTCAGGCTACAACCATCTCATGAAGGAAGTCGAGCGTATCCGCGGTGAGCGCGACCTCTACCGCAACCGTCTCCAAGCCAATGGCGAGCACACCGACGCGCTCCTGCGTGCGCATCGGGCCAAGGAGAAGAGCGAGGGCAAGGATTCCACCCTGCGACCGACGGCGTCGCATTCCCAACTCAAGTCGAGCGACTCGAGTGCTTCGAATAGTTCCTCAAGAGGCACTCCCTCTGCCAGTGATCCACGCTCTCACTTGATGAGGACCCATTCGGACGACTCGCGTGCGTACAGTCTTTCATGTCTCTCCTAGACGTAGCGTATCAATGCTGATGGTCCATCCAGCTGCTCGCGCACAACATCTGTCAACCTCGCGTTCCTTCGATCCATCGCAAACTGCGAGCCCGAGTGCTCGATTCACCCCTGAGCGCAGGGGATCGTCGGACACAATGCAGCGTGCAGAATCGCCGGTTCGTAGGGAACCCCCCAACGGCCACGTCCTTGCGTCGCAGGCGTCTTCCTCTGCCCATACGCCCTCACCTCTATCAATTTCCAGTGTTGAGCGACCCGCCGACATCCCCGTAACGCCGCGCAAGTCTCCTCCGTTGTCAATGAGCCCCACCGAAGAGTCCTTCCCATCCGCAGCCCCTACACCCATCCCTGCACGCTCAGCGTCGCTCTCCATCTCCTCCACACCAACTCAGTCGCCCTCCACGGCTACGCGATCGGCTAAACCTCTCTACCCAAGCGACCCTGCTGATCCCGTGCTGGGCGGTTGGGAGGCCCAGGGTGCACCTCTCCCCGCTCCCCCAGAGATTCCAAAGCAGCAACTCCAATCTCAAACGCAACTCCAGAATGGCGTTCTGTTGACCCCGGCTACTCCTGTGCGCACCGCGTCGACATCCCGGGATCCAGAGCCCGAACCTCCAAGGGCACCGAACGGACATCTGACCAATGGTCGACACTCCCCTCAGCAAGCCCCGCCCGTTAACACCCCTCCATCCTCTCAATCTGTTGCCATCAAGGTGAATGGTGTGTCCAACCTGAACATACGCCAACCCTCAGCCTCGCGCGACTCCCAAATCTCCCTCCCGGAGGAAGCAAAACGCTACTATGCTTCGATGGCATCTCCGGCCGCGAGTCCCGGGATGAAGTTCAGCTTCTCATCGAACTCCAATTCGCCTCTTCGACAGGAGGACGTTGCCAGCGAATCTACTGTGCACTCGGAGTCCATCGGAGTCGTAGATGCTCATCGTGCGTCCCCGCAGAGTGGTGGACTTGGCACTCCCGGTCACATCGAGGTAGCCGGCGGTGCTATGGCAGTTGAGGCGCGCGCAGAGACCAACGGACGATCAGGTTCGCGTGACAGATTTGTGGATGATGCCGGCGAGTTCCTCGACATGGACGACGAAGATAGCGCATACGATATCGGTGTCAACGGCACATCGAATGGTCAGTACGCGTCACGCCCGTCGTACGACGAGACCGAGGAGGCCAGCGCAGCCCGCAAGCGGGAAAAGATGAGGAGTACGCGCCCCTCTGGTCCTGCAGTCGAAGACTTCCCGTTGCCCCCGGGGACGACCAGTGTCCCCCCGCCGTCAGCTCAGTACCAGCGGGAGACGCCGTCGCCCGGTTCTGCGCCCTCCGTGCATGCACAGATGGGCCCACCGTCGCGCCAGGGAAGCGTGGCCGAGGCAACCAGCACCGCACGAGAGAGTCGGCCTTCCCTGCAGTCGACCTCAGAGTCTCATAGCCATCAAACCATATCGCTCGCCTCTTCCCAGACCCTCGTGGACGCGCAGCCCCCCGCCTCCCCCTTCCCCTTGCCGCTGCCAGCGAATCCACCCACGATGTCCTTCCGCGCCCTGCCGCTGCTCGCAGAGGATCTGCCGTATACCGAAGTCGTCGTCCTGAACTCCTCAATCCGGCCGAACGACAAGGGCAAAGAGGTGCTGTCGTTCATCATCTCGGTTGACCCCGGCCGTGGAAAGGACAGCTGGAAGGTCGAGAAGCTCTACAGCGACGTCCTCGGTCTCGACGCCCGTGTGCGTGCGGCCGTTGGGCGGACCACGTCCAGGAAGCTCGCGACGCTGCCGGAAGGGCGCCTCTGGCGCGATCACGCGCCCGCGAAGGTAGACCAGCGTAAGGTACGTGGTCGTGCGCCGACAATGTCGCCGCTGTTGCCTGTTTGGTCTTTCTGCTTCCCTTATCCGCTTCTGTCTTGTCTTCTCTGGGCACTCCCCCGTCCCACGCGGTGGCGTTGGGTGACCTCGGACGTTGTAGGCTGCTGGGCGCACCTCCGTGGAGGACATTCTCTTCTACCCTGTGGAAGAATGGCAAGGAACTCTGATGCGCCCTGGCTCCGGAACTTCGGTGCATCCCTACCTCTCCCGCTTTCCCAGGTCATTCTATCGTGACCTCGAGTTTACACCGTTCTATAGCTTTCCCACTGTTCCCGCACCTCCTCGGTGTCACAAATGCTGAGAACTCGCGCTGACGATCGCTTTTGTTTGGCCCACCAGGTTGCTCTCGAGGCGTACCTCAGGTCGCTCATCGCGCTTCCGGTCAAAAACAAGGACGAGACCATTGCGTTCTTCACGTCCGACATCGTCCGAGAGACGCAGAAGCCGGTGGCCCAGGCGGGGTACAAGGAAGGCTACCTCACCAAGCGTGGCAAGAACTTTGGCGGCTGGAAGACGCGTTATTTCGTGCTTCAGGGTCCGTCCCTCGAGTACTACGAAAGCGTAAGTGCCCCAGAATTCTCGGCTGACACCCTGATGCCGGCGGCGTGGTTTCGGTCCTCGTGCCCACGCCCTCGGGATCAGTCTCAATATCTTTTCCACACCTTTTTCCATGCGCTGACCAATTGTATCCCTTTCACAATGCGTCACCCAGCGCGGTGGCACGCATTTAGGCTCCATTGTGATCACCGGCGCCCAGATTGGCCGTCAGCAGCGCCAGACGGAGAAGCGCGACGCCGACGACGATAACGAGTATCGTCATGCATTCCTCATCATCGAAAGCAAGAGGAGCGCTAGTGGGCAAGCTTCTCGGCACGTCCTCTGCGCGGAGAGCGACGAGGAGCGGGACTCGTGGGTCGAAGAGCTCGTGCGTTATGTTTCTGGCCAGTACAATGAGGACCAGGTTGCAGTGGGTACCAATGTCGTTAGTCCGGTCGTTGCCATGCCACAGGGCGCAATCCGTGAACCGCGCTCAAGCACGAGCTCGAACCCTCCGACGGACCTACAGGGCACGCCCCGTCGTTCCACCAAGGACATCCTGATCGCCAAGGGTCCCGCAGTACCACTGTCACAACTCGCGCAGGACAGTAGCAACGCAAAACTTTTCAGTACGCCAGTTTACTCGGATGACGCGACATCCAGCAGCCCCGCCAAGTCTTCCATCGTCGCCTCGCTGACCGAGCGTGATACTGAAATGCAATTGTCAAGTTCACTACCCGTATCCTCGCCACTCGTGGAGGAGCCGGACGTTGTGCCAGCACTCAATCCGCGTTCGAACTCCGAGCTCGGCCACTACTCTGACCTTGTCGACCAGCGCGCAAGCGCAGCTCGCTCCCCAGAACAGAGGCGCAAGATGAAGCGGATGTCCATGAAGCCGCCTACCATTCGTGAGCGATCGGCGTCGCCCGAGAAGGATCCTAATACACCTCGAGTGGACGCGCACGGGAAGGCCAAGATCTCAGGCCCCATGAACGGCACGCTCATCCCTGATGGCTACAAGTTTGGTGCGAGGGAGGCTCCACCACCTGAACAAGCTCCTCCCCATTTGCCTACGAGCGATCGTCGGGAGAAAACCAAGTCACGGTCGTTCAAGAACTGGGGCTTTGGCAAGTCGCATGGTGCGTAGATCAGCGCCTTCCCCTACGCAATACCTTCACACTGACCCTATCGCGCACGCACCAGGGTCTGACAAGGCGCCTCCCGTCGCAGTTCCAGCTTACATACCGAGAGCCGTTTTCGGCGTCAGCCTAGAGGAGTCTCTTGATGTTGCGCAAATCGCTAGCCTGCCAGCAATTGTTTTCAGGTGTATCCAGTATCTCGAGGCGAAGAAGGCTGAGCAGGAAGAGGGTATCTATCGTTTGAGCGGTAGTTCGGCTGTGATCAAGGGCTTGAAGGACCGTTTCAATGCAGGTGTGGTCTATTCTTGTCATGTCACAGAAGAGCAGCCTTTGAGCTTGACTATTTTGCCAGAGGGTGACGTGGATCTGCTCGCATCCGATGAGTATTGGGATCCCCACGCCATCGCCGGCCTCCTGAAGACTTTCCTTCGGGACCTTCCGGCAAGTATCCTCACCCGCGATCTGCACTTGCGCTTCCTCTCGGTCATTGGTGTGTCATACCTTTCCCTGCTGCATGCTTCCTTCGGAACTAACTCCAGTCCCGTGCGCTCTAGACTTTGTCGATCCCCAAGAAAGGATCCGCGAACTTTCTCGCCTCATATCTGCATTGCCCATCGCCAACTACAGCCTTCTCCGCGCACTGACCGCGCATCTGATTCTCATCGTCCAAAACGCGAACATCAACAAAATGACGATGCGGAACGTCGGCATTGTGTTCAGCCCGACCCTTGGTATCCCCGCGGGGGTATTCAGCCTCATGCTCGGCGAATTCAAACGTGTCTTCAACGTTGACGGAACCTTGGAGGAGGCACCAGCGCCTACGGATCAGGAAGAAGCTCAGGCTCAGAGCGCAGCTCGCCGGAATAGTCAGCACTACTCTGAAGCCGCGGCAGACCAGATGCTTGGGCTTGCTGGTAGGGCTCTGCCAGGTACGTAACAGGTGCCGTGCCTGATGTCCTGCGCTTCTGGTGCTGACGCTGGCTGTGTTCTCGCTCGCTCCACAGTGCAACAAGAAGATTCCCCGTCCGATGATGGCGAAGACATCATCGAGGAGAGCGGGACAGAAGCGACGACGGAAGACGCCGAGTCCGTCTTGGATTCTTCAGCCGGGTCCACCTCGATGCACGCGCCGCAGACGATTCAGATTGATTCAGCGGGGCCCTCTGATTTCTCGCAGTCAGGGCAACGCTCGCGTGCAGCGCAGCTGGCTGCAACCCGTGGTCTGAGCGTGACGACGAGCGATAAGGCGACCCGGAGACACAGTCGGATGGTGGGACTCCCGGCATCTCCTCGTCCTCCTCCTCAACATCCGCCGCCCTCCCACGGCGCTTCGTCTGGCCAGGGCACTTCCCCCAGTCCCCACACCGGCGAGAGCGCGACAGCGATTCCTCACTCGCCAGCTTCTAATTCTCCGCATCGACCGACATAACGCCGTTCCGTTCGTCCAACTGACGTTCAGCGATGGAGAGACGATCGATTCGCCGTGTTATACGTATGCGGCGTATACCTACTGTATTTGACATTACGTATGGCACGGTATGGCGTATGACACCAAGTATGGCATTTTGCACGCCGCGCGTATGAGCTTGCGAGCTTGTTTTGTTTAGGGTCGTGCGGGATTCCTCATTGCGCGCATTCGAGGAAGGCGGTAATGGCGGAGATGGTCCACAGCGATAGTCCCTCTTTTATCCAGATCCACTCGTATACAGCTGCATGACACACGTTGATACCCTCTCTCGTTGTATATCCATATTTCATTCATTGCGCTGCATTGAAACAATCGGCTACTCCTTGAGCTCCTGCTGTTTCCGTCCCTGACAGAGCGCGTTTTCGTTGCGCCTTGGGTCCCATGATCGCTCGTACGAGCTCATCTCATCTGTAAGCGCCCATGAAGGATGCGCCGCCTCGTTCGCGCGCCAACAGACACTGGCACTAGTAGCACTTGGCATCCCATTTGCACTCATCACCCTCCTGCTCCCGCCCAAAGTACGACACTATGGGCTACAGGCAAGCAGCTGTCCTGGTTTCCGTTTCCTTCTTTCTTGGTGAGGGAAACATATCGCGAGTCTTTTACATCCGCCTGGTCACACGTACTAACCCTTCCATGCGCGTCCTCAGGGGTGCTTGCCATCTGTTTGAATGTCGACTACCGGATTCTCTTCACGCCGCTGTCTGACAGTGTTGTACGGGATGGAATCGAGTTCTACACGACGTTCTACAACTCGCCTACCGCTATCAAGGCGAGTTTCCTCCGTTCACTCCAAATGACAACCGTCCCTAGTCCTGACATATGCAACGCGTCTCCATTTCCTGGCTTCGCCCATGCAATCCATTTTCGTATACTGTCTTGCGTACGAACGGACATCCTCGCACGCGAAGGCGCTACTCCATGGCGTAATCTTCCTGGGCCTGGTCGGTCTCATCGGCAAGCTGCACAAATGGGACGACAGCGCGGTCTTCTTCGACGGCTCATCTCTCGGTGCGTTTTCTGTCCCCCCTCCCTCCCGCGCGTCGCCCCGCACTTCTCTCTCCGCCGCCTTCGCCTTCTCCGCCGAACGCACGTTCGTTCGTGCCCTTCTCCCCCCGCGCGCCCTGGTCGCTATCGGTTACTTACACGGCCTCCTTCTATCGCGCGTTCCGCGCTCCCACACAGCGGCCTACATCTTCGCCCTGGCGGTGTACATGACCGTGGGCATCCCGTCCTGCCGCACCGTCGCCGACCCCGTCCCGGCCGTGGACACGCAAGAGGACCGGGTCGAGGCGCTGCGCATCCTCTCCGCGGGAAACACCATCATCGTCGTCCTCCTCGGCGGCGTGCTCGTTCTCCAGGTGCGTACGCGTTTTTCCTTTGTTTCCTTCTATCGTTTGCGCGCTCGCGTGCCCGCGGGCGACGTGTCTGATGGCGGTTGCGTTCCATGCACTCCCACCCCGCACCCCCTCCTCCTTCCCTCGCGTGCACTTCGCGGGATCCATCCATCACGCTGCTCGACGACGGCCTCGTGCCATGACAGGCGGGCGAGCAATGGGCGCGTCGGCTGGAGAGCAACATTCTCAAGGAAGCGAGCCCCGCCGACAAGAGCAAGACGGTGCCGGAGAAGCCCGCGGGCGAGACGGAGAGCAAGAAGGACAAGTAGCTGCGTCTGCGGTGATTGACGCTTGTGTTGTGCTCGTGGGTCGGATACTGTATGGGCCTATGTTTGTATCTTCTAAATTGCCCGAGACCAGACCAGCCCACCAGCCTCCTTGCGGTGGGTCTGCGGTAATGCGGGGGGAGAACATGGTTTTCCCAGGACGCATGTCCCGGTACGAGTCGAAGTACAATGACAGTCGCACAAACTTCCTCTCCATCGCGCGACGCGTACAGGACGTCAAGATACGAAAGATGTCGGTATTGGGGCACTGGAGAAGCCGGCCATCAAAATGTCAACGTCTGATGAAGGGCACTTCCTTCAATCCCCATATCCCGATAGACAAATGAGTAGCCAGGGGACCATCCTCGCCTCATAGAACACTTGCCAGAGCGGGCAAGCGATGACAGTGCGAGAGATGATCTCTTAGGAGAAGACGATGTGAGGGATAGAGTGCGGCAGAGACGCCTCTCGTACTGAATGGCACAAGCGCGCGCGGGACCCGCCGTGTCCCCGTATAGACGAAGACTTGCCATGGTCGAACGGGAGCTGCATCTCTGCAAGTACATCCGGACTCGCTGTCGCGCAGGACTGTGATGGCTGAATGACAGAACCGTTGTGGCGTCGTTCATTTGCCCGTCGTGGGCACGCACGGTCGGCAAGCCATGGGAGAGACTGCGCCAAGGAGGTGGGCACGGTCGGACAGTCTCTCCGGTCTGGACTCTGGGGAGGGTGTGAGAGATCGTCCTTCTGCGCAGAAAGTGAGCATACTGCTTATCTCCGGGTACACGAAAGCCGTCGTATGTGGCCTCCACGGATGATTATGATGACGACTTACGTTCCAACGCTCTATACGATATACGCTCGAGGCGGGCCTCCGCTCGCCTCCACGCAGGACGTGCCTCGGCCAGCGCATGATGTTCTCATGCGTCTGCTGTAGGCAGGGAGAGGAAGCAGGACGGTGGGGAGACTCCGCTCGCGAATCAGCGAGCGCACACGTCGCGAACCGCAAGAGAGGCATCGGCGGATTTACATGGACTGCGTGTACTGTATCCTGACGTGTGCTGGGAACGAGCCACCTGCTCGCAGCTTCTCCCGAGTCGAGACGAACAGAAAGTGGGTGATGGGAGACGGGCAGGGTGGCGAGCCTTCCCGCGAAGGTGGACTGCTGGCCTCTTGCCGACGGTATTTCTTTTTTTTGGGGGGCGGGGGTGGGTGTCCTGTGGGCGACGGCCTGGTGGCGTTGTTTGGCTATTTCTAGGCGCACAAGGTATTCTAGGCGCACAAGGCATTCTAGGCGCCGTGACCGCTTGTGCGCCTTGTTGGACGGATATGGCAAGTCTCTGTGCATACAACAAGGGTCCATAGAACACAATCCCGATCGAGCACCATCTCCTATTGTCCTTCATATCTGTCCTCTCGCGCACCTCTTTGTTCCACTTACCAGGCATCGCGCGCACGTCGCTGGGGCGCTCGCGGCCACCCACAACATCCCACACTAGTGGTTGCACATGTATCGCCCAGTCCACCCTCACTTAGCCGACACCTCCGTTGATCCCCGACCCCCCCCATGCGCCCTCACTAGAACAATGACGTTGGGTGTTCTTGCAGATGGTTTCAGCGTAGTCGCCCTTTGACGCATATCGCTCAGCAGTTTCCTCGCGCGGTACGGGTGCCACACCCCGACCGCCACCGAGCGCACGCCAGCCCAGAGCATAACTGGCACCCGCATCTTCCCGCCCCCGTTTACTTACACTCGCCTCCGCGGTCTCCTGCACACGTCGCGTGATGCGTGCCGCACTGGCACTTTCCATGCTGATTCAGACGTGCCAAATTGCCTACCAAGACAGACTTTCTTCATCTCGGCCATACGCCACATCCAATTCCGGCCTGTACCCTTGCGTCAATATCGGACATCCACACCTCCAACACGCCTTCCAAGCGCCCGGCCCCTCCCATAACGCTCTGCTAAACACCGATTTCGCATTACACCACGGCGTGTTGTGCCCAGTCCGGTGGGAAGCGCTCCGGAGCTCCTCGACATCAGAGGCCAGTACTGTCGTGCTTTCTTCCCTCGCCAGTCATACTCTCGGTGACCGCGCAGCAGAACCGTTCCCACTTCAAGCACTCTACACATCACGTCGCGAACAACCTTCTCTCGCAATCGACTCCCACTGCAGACGCCGACGACGTGGCGCCAATGCAAACAGATGAACAGCGTGGACGGGGCGACCCCGCAGCACAGACGCCAGCGCAGCGATGGCTTCGCGTTCTGTGAGATCGCATTTCGAGGCCTATCCCCATCGCTGCCAGCGATGCGACTTCTGTGAGATGGACGAGATCCCTGCGTCAGTCGCCATCTCCGGCATCACGCTTCCATGCGGGCTGCAACAGAGTGACAAACAGCGCAGTGTCGAACGAGATCTGCCACCGGCGCCCAGAAAGCTTCCTGTTCCCTGGGAGGGATCACTGTCTTTCACACCTTCTTTGATATATGTGATTTGACGAGGTATGTCTCGCTTCCACATACAGGTACTCGCTGTATTAATCCCGAACGTCTCGCTTGCATGCGAGCGACAAAGGCCCTGGATGCCGCTGCCACAATGCATGGCCAGGCTACGTGCGTGTAGGTGGGACATCCCCGGCAAACCGCGAAACTATACACACACCTCGAACAATATCACACCCCTCTATCAATCCTCCTCCGTCTCCTGCGATAGCTCCGCTTTGACCTTGTCCTTCCGATTAAGAGAGCGGAGCGCTGTTACAATCAGCCGCAAAATATCTCGGGGCACCCTCCGCGGTCTGCTCGACCATGAGCTACAGGACGGAGTTCTCTTACACCCCGCGTGCAATGTCCCATGACGACTCTGAAACGCCGTAACTGCATCTAATTCTCCCTGTCCACGCGTGACCGTTCCTTGCTCTGTCTTCCTCCAAGTATCCACCCTGACTCACACTCGTCCAAATCTAGAGAAGCGCACATCGTCGCGAACCACGGGCTTTCCTTGAGCGTCGCACCAATGACATACGACGGGCATTCGTAGGAGTTTACTTCTTATGACTACAAGTTTCCCCGCTGTACCCTCTCCGTGCTAAGATCAGGTACATGCTAACGCGAGGGATCGCAGAGCAAGGTGCACGACGCGAGATGCGCATTCTTCCATCCAAGAACCTCTGAGAGGCTGTTTCGTGGTGGTTCCAAGCCTGTCCTTCGTGCACGCCTGTGCTCACATCCGTACGAGAACCGCCGTGTGCTCGGCAACGCTCGTCCTTGCTCGACCCGAGCTATCGTCGCGCAGGGTCCAGCTTCCTTGGCGGTAAGCACCGGTATCGTCCAGCAGCCTAGTCTCACTAATATTTAATTTCTAGCCCAAGTAGCACGTTCATGTGTGAAGGGAGGTGAATGATGCAAGGGTGGGCCACCGCTCCTCTCGTTCGCTCATCTCCTCCCTTTGCGGCGAGACACCGTCACGCAGACAAGCACAGGAAGCCCCAGGAGCGTCGCTCTCCCGTCCGGCAATCCTCCAGCGTCCGGGCCTCCTTCGTGGCCAGAAGTACGTTTGCGCACTGACATCGGCAGACGATGTCATCGCCGGCCGGACGGCCCACAGCGCACATACGCTGGCGTATGCACACCGCGTCTCGCCATGGGTGTGTCCGTGCCCGTTCAGGCATGCCCCCCGCTCCCGGCACAGCGGATGCATGTGGGATAAGCTTGAATCCTGTGCCCAGAACCGCATGTGCACCCCGTCCAGCCGGGCGGGTGGGAGGAGAGGCTCGCCCGTCCGTGCTGGGGGCAGGAGGCGTGACCGTGGGGCCGCACGGAGAACGCGTGTTCGTGCGCCGGTAAACGGGCGAGCGAGCGAGCCTTCTCGATCCTTCTGCCCCGTGCATACGGCTGCCATACGCTACGTCCGCACACATCACGTACGGTAGCAGTGTTATGTCGCGTCTCTGCTAACCTCTCCGTGATGCAGGCGTAGGGAGACGCCCCGAGCAAAGATACGCCGCAATTCAAGATATTCCAAGCGGGACGCTAATTCAAAGCGAAGGTTCGCGCGGACATACGTCGCGCAACCAACCACGGCGGTGGCGGAGCACCCGCCTTCCTGACTTCCTGGCTGCTACGTTCGAAGCGATCCTGAGAAAAGGATACGCGAGGGGCAGCATCTATAATTACGCATCTCGATAGGTGTGGGTATGGCTACGTGCTTCCGCCGCTCGCTACCAACAGGAACCGTCGCCGAGTCCCGAGCGCTCTCGAACGCATTGGGAGGAAGTATTACCGGGGAAGGCAGGAGAAGAGAATTTATGAAGGGGCGAGCCAGATACGTGTGCGTCTCGCAGGGCGCGCGACGGCAGGACGGTGTGAGGCGTCGGGCGGGCGTGGTGCTGCCGTAAGCTAAGCTTTCCAGACAGGCTGGAACCGGCCGGCGGGAATCAGGGGGGGGGGACAGGAGGGAACAGCGTCAGCGTTGAGTTCCGACGATGAGCATGCCTGCGCAACGTCGCACACCAAGGTGCGATGTAGAGAAGTTGGCGCGAGTATCAAATCCAATCACGAGAATCGGGGGATTGCGCACGTATCGCAGCGCAATCAGCAGGAATCGCCCGCAGCGACGGCGTATCCTGTGTGCCCTCACGGCACCTTCAATACAGACTTGTTAACGTTCGAGTTCCGTCGTGCTCGCCGATAAACCGAAAGAAGGGAGTCTATCCCGGCGCTGGGGATACACTGCGCGCTGAAGCGGCGATTCAAGTGCGTCCATTCACGTTCGCACGACCGGGGGGTCCGCGTTCAGTGTGCTTCACGGATTGGCAACAGTCCATGGAAGGCGCTAATGAGAGGCTGCCATGGCTCTGAGAACGCTGGCGAAATTTTCTTTGCATTAGTGTTCGGGATCCATGGCGCTGGGGCTACTCGTGCGTACGGGTGGGGAAAGTCAGCCACGGCCAGGGCGGGATAACAGTCACAGCAGGGGCGCATGTACTGGCAGCGACATGGATGTGTGGATGACGCGAACTACGACGCTGTCCGCTAGAGCCTAGGCCCGAACAGGTGGTCAGTATGCGTATGGAGATCTGTGTGGAGACATGTCGAAGGGAACGGCGACGGGCGATGCGATGGGGCCGAATCCGGGCAAGGTGGTCGCGATATCGCGCGGGATGGGGCTAGCGAGATTTGTACAGAACATTTCTGGATCTGAATCTGACGGGGCCCTGAGGATTCCGAAGACGGGAGCAAACTCGCAGCAGAGACGTCGCTAAGCAAGCTTGGACGCACGGGCGCCAGCGCGAGGGGCTGGGCCCGAAGAATCGCAAGCTGGCAGATGCGTCTTAAGTACGGCGACGGAAGACTCGGTAGGCCTGGCCACACGACGTCCCGTATGGGACGCGGCTGAGGTGCACGGTGGGGAAGAGGATGGCAACGTATGATACGGTGCTCTGATGAAGCAGCTCCCGTCGACATTGCTTGCCTTCTCGGGACGGCAAGTCGGGATGCGAGCAGCGAACGACCCATACACACATGTCAGGACGAGCAACGGAGAAACCATATGTGGCAACCAGGCCGGTGTCGCTCCCGGCGGGATGAACGCGCACTCAAGCGTCGGCAATCGCGCTCGGTTATCGAGGCGCACCCGCGACGACTCTGACTCGCTTTTGTAGGCCGTTTCCAGACAAGAGACCGTTTTTTGTTGCACAGAAGAGGCGGACAACGAATGCGGTGCTCATTGAGGGTGGACAGTTACGCGGGGGCGCAAGCGGCAGGGCTGGCGCAGGGCTATCAAGGGGAACTGGGCAGAGCGAGATTGGCCCTCGCTACTGCCTGGGGACATCTCGAGGCCGCCAATGGCGTGTTCGGCGGACAAGAAGAAATTGTTGCCGAAGCATGGTTCCAACGAGCATGACGCATGCATTGCACGCAGATCTCTCGCCGTATACTCGCAGTCCACACGCACGCCCTCGCATCGCAGCTGTGGTCTCTGGCGGGAGAAGGAGAAGGCGGGGGAGTGAGTGATGTGCGGTGCTTGGCCTGGGAGGCGATAGCGCGGCGGAGTGCGAGAGGCGAGGATCAGCTGCTGGGGCCATCAGGGCCTGCAATCGGCCAGATATGGATAGTGACTCTCTGTGACTGTGTCTGTGACGACTTGCCAGATTGGGGCTAGAGCGAGAAAGACGAAAAATAATTAAAAGAGGCGAGATCTGAGAGTGCAGATCGGTTACCAGAGTGCAGGGTCGGTCCAGCGAGGTCTCAGTCCACGAGCCGCGGCTTATAATCATCCCACAGCGTCCCTTCCTCTGCCGACGCTCCCCTCCCCTCCTCCTCTCCCGACACACTACTCGCCCTCCCGCCTCCGTCGATACCATCAACAATGGACGCGGTCGACCTCAACTGGTGCTTGGCCTGCGGCTGCCGCCTCGAAATGGTACGCTTCCCCCCAGCCCCATTCTAACCCCACCCCCATTGACGCTCTCCCGTCCTCAGGAGGGATGCACCCCATACTGCTCACAGAACTGCCTCAACTCCGACGGCCCCTCCACTTCTGCTTTCCCCTCACAGCAGACCCTTCCGTCGCTCATCGACCGCGACTCATACCTTCACGGGGACGATGACGACGACGACGACGAGTCGCCCAATTTCGATGACTGCCTCGCATACTCCCAATGTCCCTCTCCCATCCGCAACACCTGGATTGGTCGCGGCGATGCAGGCATCCGCGCATGGGCGCAATCCGTTCCCCGAGGTGCGCCTTGTGAATCCCAGGAGACACCTTCCGGCACCCTTAAGCCGAAGCTGCTACTCCAATCTCGCCGACCCGTCAAGCCTTCACTATGCATGTCCCGCGCCCAGCCCGCCCCTCCTGAGCCATCGCGACCAATCCTCACTCCTCAGCAATCTCTTCCATCGCTTTCGCGCGACTCGACATCTATCCCTTCCGCGAGCTTGGCCTCCCTTACTACCGGCTCATCGTCCTACTCCGTTGTAACGCCTGCGACGAATTCTGAGATTGGCTCGCTCCGCAACCCGGCCGTCCCCCGTCCAACCGCCCCGCAACATAACTTCCTTGGCGGTCTAAAGGCCCAGCTTCGAGCTTGGGCTGCCTCTTCGACACCCCAAAAGGAGGTCACTCGGTCGAGGACCCTGACCCGCAACCCTGCTGTTCACATCGCGGACACCTCTGACGCAGAGTCCGGCACCGGTCGTGCTGCCCCCAGGGTGCGGCGGCCGCGTTCGCCAGCTCCTTTCTTCCACATGCCCGAGCAGTACCCTCGGGAAAAGCGAAAGGAGACCACGAAGGAAAACACCCTTCCATCCGATCACCCCGCTTACCGAACGCGAGGACGGAGGCCCTCCCGCATCGCCTCATGATGGTTGGTCTCTCGCATCCGATCCCCTCGTTATCATCCATATTCTACATAGACGACGTGCGCTTGTCGCGCGTCCTGTACGATATTTATCACACCCACGCCGCTCCGCTCTGTTTCTTTGCTCGTCTCTCGCCACTCGGATTGGCAAATTAGGAATCCAATCCCCCCCGCCGGCTCCGCCTGTTCGCGGTCGTTACCCGAGGTCTTCCCCCTCAACATCCCCTATGTCTTGCACTCTCGCCGGCACGGACCTCCAAAAGTTGACGCCTGTTTCTCCTCGCATACGGACTTGCACATAGCGCATTATCCCCTTCGCTTGGCGTCTTCTGACTACCCTCCACCCCAGCATCCCACACTTTCCCTGATCATCGCTCACCGCTCATACCTCTCACTACCTCGCATCGCTCATACCACCCCTCGTTTACGTCTACACCGCACGTTCCTCGCTTTGTTCTCTCCTCCTCGTGGTCATCTCTCATCCTGCACATCGTGTTTCGTGTGTTCGCTCGGCTCTGATCCCCAGCAAAAACCTCAGTGCTCACTCCCCCCCTGTTTCACACACGTTGGCGGCCCGTGTTGCTCCAGTTTGTGCTTATGTCTGCCGCGCGATCCGTGATCTGTCGATGTTGTTGCTTTACTTCCGCCTTCGGCTTGTCTTACGACGCATACCAGCATTCCGTTCGTCTCATCTCCCTGATCTTTACCTCTACTCGCATACTCTCCTCGCATACACCAAACGTTGCATCGGCTCGATCGTCACCATATTCCCCACCATATTTCACCCTACCACGCTCTTGCGGATGTACGTCAATCACACATGTACTACAGGAAGGCCTAGATGCGTAGTAAATGCATAGACTCCCCAGACATGAATACCCCAAACTGTTGGCGTGTTCGTTTGAAAGTGTGGAGACGATCATCAGGCTAAGGCCTCGGATGAGATGGACGATTTTGCAGGTGAGGAACGGTGCAACTCTGAGCACGCCGTGCGCAACGCGAACCGGTCCGCGAGAGCTTCGGCATCCAGGCCTCCCCACCGCAAGCGATATGCCGTCGACGTCGGCGACGGTCTCGCCATCGCCCCCGATCGTGTTTCATACAGGCTTCGGTTCGCCGGCGTCCGTTCGGGTCGTGCTCCCGAGCCAACGACCACGATACATAGCCTCGGCAGTAAGTACATGCATACGCCCGTCATGCACTGGAGTAGCTTCCCGCACGCACCCCATTCGAACCCCCCCGAATTCGAGGCTCTCTTCCACTTCGCGCGCTGCGATCCCGGGACGAACTCTCTCTCTCTCAGGCTTCCGTCTTCTGTGTTCATTCGTTCCGACGCGTGGCCGCGGGCTCGCTGCACGCTCTGGCCCAGGCCGCTCGACGTCCGTTGCCGGCGGGCCTTCGCTCAGGGGTACGTACGGACGTGCAGCTGGAGTGGTGGACCATCGAGGGCGCTGCCAGCTGCGGGGCGATCATCCTGGAGGGACCAGCTGCGCCCCTATGTGTTGCGTCGAGCCATCGGCGGGTCCCCCGTCGTCACGGTGCGTCTCCCACATGCTCGTGCTCCGTTTCGGAGACGATGCTGACATACCCTATGCGTGCGGGATCACAACTCTGGGCTTCCGAGGCTGCCGCATCCGAGCCCCCTGTTCCAGGCCGCGCCGGACCCAGAAGCGTTGGCGGAGGAGCTAAGATGCGCGACGGACGCGCGCGGATAGCAGGAAGTGTCGCCGCATTCAGCGGCGCCGCTCCCGAGCGCACGAGTGGATGCTCTCGAGCTCGCGAGGCTCCGTGCCTGCTCCGCCTTCGCCCTCCGCGTTTCCCGGGCTTCTGTGCAGATCCCCTGCCCTTGGTAGGACCCCCGATTATTCTCCCAAAGGAATGATGCCTGATCCGGACAAAATTGGCCACCCAAAAAGGCCTATGCCTGATCCAATCCGGCCAAATCGACGTTCGAATTCTGGATGGCCTGGTGCCAAAGTCCGGACAAAACTGGTCCAACCAGGCAGAGGCCTGATCCCCGTCCGCCCTTGGGCGGCCCGGTGTTGGATGATAGCTACCCGGTCCTGACCGGTTGACCAACAGTATCGCTCATTGATCACCAAGGCTTGCAAACCGGTGTCGCTATCTCTTTTTCCTTGTATCCCGGAACATAAAGGGACGTTTCTGCATTTCCGGCGGTGAACTGAGAAATTGCGCAAGAAGCGCTGGAGGGCAAGAGGTAGGGCAGCCTGCTGAGTGACAGAATTTCTTGCCTCTCCATTTGCAAGATGACCCCTAGCATACTCTATGTTGTCCAGATTGCCGTAGATCTCTC